TACGACTATTTGATCATCCGGGTGCCTGCCTGGGGACTGTGCAGCCACCGGAGATGCTTGGGTCAGAGCCCAGAGCCACTGCATGTGTGTGATCAGATGCGGCATGCAATCAGACTGAGTCTCTTGTCTCCCCCGGGATTCATATTGGGGTCAGTCGATTCAATATTCTCGTGGGGCTGAGGTCCACGATGCCAGGAATGACCTCAAGTGCTGGGCGCCACAACGGCCCTTGAATATCGACACGGCACATGGAGCGAATCAAAGTTTAGGCTTAGGCTTAGATCCTAGCCTGCCCGTGGCCAGGATCGCTGGTGGGCATCTCCAAGTCTAAGCAACAATCCTCCGTATTACTCTTCTTATTAGTATGTGACGGATCGGATTCAGAGCCTGATCTCTCTCAGCGCTAAGACGACTTACAAGCAAAAGCCAGTGTAATAGACTTTTATACGAGGCACGCACCGAGGCTCGTCGGCTGGCTATCGGGACTTTTGACGGACTTTGCCTGGCAACGATTCCCCTGGAGGCTGCAAACATGCATGATAAGACTAGCCAGTGGGGGATTGGCCGAAGCTGAGGTGGCTCAGGCACAGTTCCCTCTTCAGGCTGAACTAAGGCACGAGGAAGAAGCCAGCGAAAAAAATTAAAAAGGGCCGCTTGGTGTGTGGATGGGAAAATCGGGTGCGATTGACCGGCGTCGGCAGCCAAGTCGACGCCAATTCCTTAGTGTAGAGGGCAGAAACGGGCAACAGTCAGCGGGAGGGCGAGAGCGTACAAAGTATGTATTGCGGGAGACCTGAAACATGATGTGGTGTTGAGTTTTGTCACCACCACGCTTTGGCTTGGCTTCCATTGTATTTCCCCCTTGCCTTGCTGTTGCATTTCTGAGAGATGCGAGCAAGTAAGTACCTACATGTACACATGCGGTAGCATTCAAGGGCAAATCGTCATGCCACTTGTGAGCATTTCTAATTTTGTCGTGTCTTGCCGGCTCTTGGAAGCCGACTGACCATCCAACAACCAAACCAGGCTAGCCATACACACGCAAACGCACACGCACAGCTACCGTACCTTGTAATATTCCGTACTGCTACATAAAGTACTGCCATGTTGAGCAAGGGATCCCCGTGCCGGCCTGGATAGACTTTTCACGGCCTGGTCTTGTCGTGCATCTTGCTTTGTAGGTATTACTTGTGCAGCTTCCTAGGCTGGTACTGGGTACTGCTAGTAGTAATAATAGTTCAATGCAAGGAAGCGAGAGTGTCCAGCTCGCTGGCTTTGTCCCAAACCAAACCACATAGAGACGCTCCCCTCTCATTCTGCAGACCAAAGGTACTGTAATGACAGACACTTGCCAAGTGCTTATTTGTGGGCAATGGGTTCCGCAGTCCGTCTTGGCAACTGGGAATGCACCGAGTCTTTGGTTTTAGTTGGAGAAAACAACAATAAAACTCTATTGGCGGAGTGGTCAGCACCGGTTCAAACTAATTCTGCCAGGGGCAAAAAAAAAGAAAGGAAACAAAAGAAAAACAAAGGAAGGGAGAAGGGGAAAAACAGAGACGTCACATTCAATTGTTCCTCGCCACCACTTTGGATGCCTTCATGCATGAAAAATGCCCCGCCACCGGAGGCACAAAAGTCGGCGGTGCAGTTGATTCGTTTCTTCTTTTTTTGCTTGTGCAGACACGCACATACGAGCACACGCACCCACCGTTTTCCCCTTTGCCATTACGAGTGCCCAGCATTGCTATTCCACAGGGCTAATTCATGCAAGGCCAGCTCAATGCTACTATTGCTCCCACTGTTGGATGCGAGACTTGGGTCCAGATACACATCCTTCGATGCTCCGGGCGTCTATTGGCCGACACCCGCTGGCTTCTTGCTCGGCAATGCTGGATAATCAATGCTCGTATCGTATCACTCACAGGTATCTAGTAATTCCTTACAAGTAGAACAACCAACCACAGGCACGTGGAGTGCAGGCCTCGGGTGTCGACAGTGCGGGCCCTTGCCTCTCATCTTGTCCATCCATCTGGTGATGCCAAGGGCAATGGAGCTGTCCTGGGCTAGAGATTTTCTTCCGAGCCAGCCCTCGCTCATGCTAATGCTCATGCATGGCGCTCAGGCCGCATCTCGTATCGGCAAAAGCGATCAAGCGGTGATTGTACAAGTACGAGCACTCGTACATCCATGATCCGTACATACAAGGCCTCGGACGTGGATACTCCAGTATTGGGATTGGATGCTAAGCCCAGGCGCCTTTTCGCCGCGGCCAATAGACTGCGCCATGCCGCCAACGACATCCCGTCCAATTCCCACTCTCGGGGCATCCCAGCCGATCTCTTATCCACGCGGAATCGAATCGAGCCAAGGGGAGCATCAGCCGCACCAAGTTGCGAACTTATCAGCAGTCCCAGTCCCCCCATCCTTGCCAGCGTCAGGACACTAGCCCTTTGGCCCCCCCTGTCAGCGACTCTGCGTTATCGTTTACATGCACTCGAACCTCCACGTACGATATGTACGCTCATGCAGCTGAGCACACAGAAAAATTGCGCCTCGCCGTCGTTGAATGGCTGCCTTGGGGAGCGCCCCGAGTCTCGTTCTTGAACCCAGCGGCACCACATTGGGCTTAACATTGTCCGCTTTGGGGAGGATGCGTGCTGCGATGAGAAAGCAACCTACTGTAAACATTGCTCGATACGAAGTGCAGTGCATATAACTATTTACGCCCAGTATGTGACGAACAGGGGGAAACAGCGAATCCAAACAGTCGTCAACTCCAGAGAAGCTGGCTTCAACTGGGGTTACTCTGCGCTGGCTAATGCAGAGTATGTGTAGCGAGTCTGTACAGCCGCCCTTTGGTTCCCTGCCCCTACTTTTTACTCCTACAGCACCGCATCGAGACCAACTAATAGCAGAATCAGGGAAAAGCAATACATACACTACTAGTCATTTCATTGAGAAGCGGCTAGAAGTGTCTATTCCAAGGTCATAAAGGGGTTGTTTGTGGCGTATCTACCGAGATTGTAAGGAGTGTATTGAAAGTGAATAGACTCATTTGACATCAAGCCGAGCCCTGCATGACCAAGAGCACGCGGCCATGTTCACGTAACTTGGCCGTATGTTTATCACACCGCAGACAGCCACTCATGATCAAAACGGGTAATACAAATACAACACCCTCCAGATGCGGTGGATGCCAAGGGATTCAGAGAATCCAAGTTGCATGCATGAGTTTACTTGATACTTGTGTTCTCTCCTGGGGTGCGCCAAGGCGGTTGGCATGCAGCCTACATTTATTGGTGTATTGGTCTCAGCCGCTCAAGCCACATTAATATATTCCGTCTGCTGATCATGACTAAAGGAAGCTATTGATAGTACTGGACTCACCGCCAGAGACGATATTGCACTCAGGTTTGTTGGATGGAAGCCCAGGACTCTCATCTTTGGTCTCTTTTGAGTACTATTGTCCTTGGAGAATCGTCCAGAGAGCCATCGACGTACATACCTATGCGTGGAGAAACTCTACGGCAGTGAGTAGTAAATAGAGCAAATTATTTCGAGGATTGTATATAAAATGCACATAGAGTAGTGTTCCTACAGCCGGCTTCAAGACATTGGGCTAAAGTGCTTTTTAGTCTTTGATACTCTGTACATATAGCATTTGACTTAAGCCTCCCCCGCAGCGCCCAATTTTCATGCCCTTTTTGACATCTGGTCTGGCGTGGGGTAGATGTATCCTTGATTCCTACGAGTACGTGTTAGTTGAAAAAGAAAGCAATTGCTATACTCTTCCTCTCAAGAGGTATGGACATGTTCTCATGTATGGGTACTCAAGGGACTAGCTACTAGGTACTCAGCACATCAAGTTAGCTATCCAGGACTCCAGCAACTGAATGGACTTCGAGCATTAGAACCGGAAAGCCGTTTATTTACTATGAATATATATAGTACCCAGTTCTTCAAGTATCTGCCACTATGGCTATATTTTCTCGAGTATTTACCATTACATTTCTCTGTTAACCACTACTATAACTGTGTTCGTCCAGTGCTCAGTATTATTTGCGACGCGAGATGCTGGATAGCAAAATTGAGATGTTGAATAGACGCTCCCTTAGTTTACAATATGGTACCAAAAGCTGATTGATTGTTCGATGCATTGTATGTAAATTTCATGATTTCATGAAGCTACAGGGTAGCATCACCATAAAAGCCGCCCACTCCTCCACCTCGATGTATTTACCTCTTACTGCCAACTACCATGTAAGTCTCAATTTACCGATTTCACCTCACTGCTATGGATCATGGGGAAAAAGAAGAAAAATTCCTTGTTGGTCAGTCATCGACTCCGCAGTTGGCGCACCGCCCCCATTCTTACCCATTTAGAGAGATGAAATGCAGGGCATATTATTGAGTGCAAACACTCCCACCTAATTATTGCTCGCAATAAGCCCACAGGACTATTACACCCCTGGATTTGAGTCAACAAACGACAAAAACCCTCGATGCTTGTTCCAGTATTAGGAAGGCTGACTCCCATCATGCTGCTATTATGACTATGACTCTCAGAAAACTTCATTTACCACAGACGGTTGGATTGGCCAATTTTACCTTCTCCGCAATCTCAGTGACTCACACGTCTTAGCAGCCAAAAACGATGCCTTTGTCAGCAGCCGTTGCGTGAGGCTTTGCCGCTTTGCCACACAAGGCACTGAGACCCACCAAAGTTTCGATGAATTTCAAAGATTCCATCTTTCCAATATCAAGGCCACGAGCGCTCCTTTGGCGCATCGCCGCAACTTTCAACTTCGTCTCATCACTTTGAATTTCATTTGTTCGGATTGTTAGTACTCGTCGTTTTGTGCGATAGCGCCATATTGCCCAGCTTGGAGCCTCAGACTCAGATACGTCTTCTCACTCAGCCCTACCAACTTTTCATGCACCACGACGATCAAATCGCAAACCAACCACAAGGAAGCTCTCCCCAGAGCTCAGCTGTAATAATGCCCGAAGGCGAGGCTTCACAGGCTCAGAGTCAGGCGCAAGGTGCCTCTAGAGGGGCTTCACGAGCTCGTAGAGGCAGGGGTCGTGGTGGCAGAGGACGAGGGCATCACACAGGTTCCACTCAAGGAACTCAAGGGCAGCTAGCCTTACAGACCGAGAGTTCAGAGAACCCTCCAACATCCACTGCAGCTCCATCACAGCAGGAAGCAGCATCCTCGTCAAACCCTTCAAGATCATCTCGCGGAGGAAGAGGCGGCAGAAGAGGGCCGCGGCAGGGCGAGCGAGGTGGCGCCAGGCAAAGCGCCCCTCGAGGTCCGCAGCCGGGCCCGACGCGGCGATTTGGCGGTCACCTCACCGTTGAAGCGGACGAAACGCCATCAGATGCTCTTTCATTAAGTGCGGAAGCTCCTGAGTTTGTTCCTGGTCAGCCAGTATTGCCGAGGGCGTAAGTATCCTAATCACGCAGCTCACCACTTTGTATCCGTAAGTGTTGTAGTAGTTACTGATTGCCGTACCCATTTAGCAAGCCAAGGCAGGCTGAGACCTCTAAACAGTCTGAGGTGAAGCTTCCAAAGTCAACCGCCGCAGACCTTGGAACCAGGATTCATGAGGACATTAGCCATGGAAACTATGAGTGCGCAGTGTGCACGGACGAGGTCCTTCGCAAGTCTCACGTGTGGTCTTGCAATGTTTGTTGGACAGTTGTTCATCTCAAGTGTGCCAAGAAGTGGTACCACAACCAAATGAAGCAGAATGCTGCCCGGCCGCCAACAGAGTCTCAGCCGGAGAATTTATGGAGATGCCCGGGATGTAATTCCAAGCTGTCCGATGAACCGGGCTCGTATCACTGCTGGTGTGGGAAAGATATCAACCCGAGGCCCTCAAGCACATCGCTCCCGCCGCATTCTTGTGGGCAGACATGCTCAAAGCCTCGAGGAACGTGCCCACATCCTTGCGGCCTTCAATGTCATGCCGGGCCATGTCCCCCGTGTGGTCTTGTGGGCCCTACGCAGTCTTGCTTTTGCGGGAAGAATACCTCACAGAAGCTGTGCAGAGAGACCGACTACGAAAATGGTTGGAGCTGCCAGGAGATCTGCGGTGATCTTTTGCCCTGCGGAGAGCACTTTTGCCCAAACCCATGTCATCCCGGACTCTGTGGAGATTGCGATCTCAAGGTTGAAGCAAAGTGTTACTGCGGGCGTGTCGAGAAGAAAATCCCTTGCTTCGAGCGGCAGGATGTGCAATCTTCATACAGTGTAGAGGACGCCTCATGGTTTGAGGGCTCCTTCAGCTGCCTCACGCCTTGTGAGAGGAAATTCGATTGCGGGACTCACAGCTGCTCTGCGACGTGCCACGCCCAGGATGAGCATCCGGCCCATTGTCCCTATTCCCCCGACGTGGTTACCCACTGCCCTTGTGGCAAGACACCTCTTGAGAATTTTCTGCAGGCTCCAAGGCAATCTTGCGAAGATCCGGTTCCTCACTGTGATAGAGTTTGTGAAAAGCTCCTCCCTTGTGGCCACCTATGCAAGGCCAAATGCCACACCGGTGACTGTGGATTCTGTATGGAGGTGATTGATATTTCGTGTCGATGTGGCCGAACCACATCTACATCCGTCTGTCACCAGGGAGATGTCCAACAGCCGTGGTGCATGAGAACATGCCAAGCGAATCTGAGCTGCGGCCGTCACAAGTGTGGCGAGCGCTGCTGTCCAGGAGAGAAGAAGGCTGCGGAGAGGCAGGCAGCGAGCAAAAGGAAAAATCGACCGGCAGCAGAATCTGCCGTCGAAGCCGAGCACATCTGCATCAGGACGTGTGGACGGCCGCTGAAATGCCGCAGCCATGACTGCCAGCAGATATGCCATCGCGGAGCATGCGCAAGCTGCCCCGAAGCCATTTTCCATGAGATCAGTTGCAACTGTGGCCGAACGGTGCTTCAGCCGCCACAGCCCTGCGGGACTCACGCTCCCGAGTGTCGATTTAACTGCCCGAGGCGACCAGCTTGCGGACACCCGCCCGTTGAGCATAACTGCCATATGGACGACATATCTTGTCCCAAGTGCCCGTTTTTGGTAGACAAGTGGTGTGCTTGCGGCAAGGAGAAGCTGCACAGCCAGCCCTGCCACCTTCAAGCAGCGCACTGCGGTCGACCTTGCGGGAAGAGCTTGAAGTGCGGGTACGTGACATGTGTTTCTTTTATGTTTCTGTTGAACTACCCATCAAGGTTCTCGGCATGTACTGATATAGTATTTCTAGATTGCACAAGTGCCGGAAACTATGTCATAGGCCAGGAGAGTGCGAGGATAGTGCCAGTTCTAGTCAGACCTGCGGCCAAGTCTGCGGCAAGACTAAGCTGTTCTGTGACCATGCTTGCCAGAATCCATGCCATGGTCAGACTCGTAAGTCCAAGATTAAGCCCAAGCCAACTGAAAGCGGAGTAAGAAGAGTTTCTAACCCAAACCTACACAGCTTGCAACGAATCAGCCCCTTGTACAGCCAAGACGACTACCGCTTGCCCCTGCGGCCTGCGTAAACAGGACGTCAAGTGTCTCGCCAGCAGCTCCAATCCCACGCCATCTCGTCCCGAGCTTAAATGTGACGACGAGTGTCTTCGCTTAGAGCGAAACAGGCGTCTTGCCGCGGCTCTCAACATTGATCCCGCCTCTCACGCCAACGATCACGTTCCCTACTCGGATACGACTCTTCGTCTTTTCAAGGAGAATCTTTCCTGGGCAGAGACTCAGGAGCGCGAGTTCCGGGTCTTTTCCAAGAGCCCCAACGAGCAGCGACTGAGATATAAGCCGATGCCTAACCATCAACGACAGTTTTTGCATGTGTTGGCCCAAGACTACGGTCTGGAGAGCAAAAGCGAGGATCTCGAGCCGTATCGCTACGTCGTCGTATGGAAAGGCGCCAAGTTTGTCTCTGCGCCGAGCAAGACCCTGGCGCAGTGCGTCAAGATTAGAGACTCTCAGGCGGCAGAAGCAGCTGCCGCAGCCGCTGCCAACTCGAGAGCCCCGACTCCTCCCCCGCTTGTCATAGTTGATCCGTTCAACGCGTTTCTCCTCACTTCTCCTCGGTTTGGTCTTACCATGGAAGATGTCGACGCTGCTATTCGTGCCGACCTCGCGAGCCAGACGGCCTTTCACTTTAAGACGGCATTCTTGCCTTCAGATGAGATTCTCATCCGCGCCACGGCGCACTACTCCTCTTTCCTCACGCCTGCCGCCGTCGAGCAAGCCTTGCAGAACATGAAACCTCGCCTCGAGAGCACAATCAAGCGTCTTGATGTCGCGGGCAACATTTTGCTCTGCCACGTCGACGACAACGAGAACATCTCGCGCAGGGAAGACATTAGCAAGAACGACTCCTCGGGCTGGAGCGCCGTCGCGGGACGGGCCGCGGCGAAGAAGGACGAGGTCAAGGTGGAAACACCGGCGGCCTCGGGCGGCGGATCTGGAAAACGACTGCTGCTTGGGTTGAAGAAGAAGAAGGCTGTGACGCCGAGTGCGTCTTGGACGGCGCAGCTTGATGGGGATGTTGAGTGTTGATTTTGGGGCGTGGGGATGGAGTTTTCTTATACATGGTGGTTACGAGACTTCATTATGGCGGCATTGCATTGGTTATGGATGTCAAATAAGATATTCATTTCAGTATTGGCAAACAGGTGATGAACGGGAATTAGAAGCTGTATATCCAACTTGATGAGCTCAAGTAATTGGAAACAGGTATAAGTAGATATACGCAGTGGACAACATGCATATGCATAAAGCCCACCAAAAACCCAAGAAAACAAACGAGAAAAAAAAAGTCAAAAAATAATAAATCAAAAAAAAACATTAAATTATTTAATTATCCTCTTTCTCATACGCCGTATCCCATCTATGAATATAAACCGCCCCCGATTCTAGGACCTAAGCAAAAAATAACCCATCTCCATAACCCGACCTCTAAAATTCCCCACGCTACTTTTTTTGGTTGTTGGCCGTTGTCGTACCCGTAATGTACTGATATATGCTGCTGCTGCTGCTACCTACCTCATCATGCAGATGTATAGAAAAGAAGAAAAAAAGTAATCCCAGAGAGAGAATAAAAAAAAAAAAAAGGAATATGCCGACCAATAATAGGTATCGCTTGCAACACGCGTCGTTTTTTTGTTCACCAGTGGAGAAAACACAGGTGTGCGTGTATGAAAAAAAAAATGATGCGCACAAAAAAAATTTGCGTTGAGCAGCCGAAAAATTAAAATTCGTTGCACATGGGAATAAAACCATCTCCCTCTTCAAGTAATAAGAAGATGCAGATAACAAAAAAAACAACAAGACTCATGTAGATGTTCGGGCTGGGTATAATCACGCGACGCTTCTTCCCTCCACACACACTCCAATATTATCGTCACATGGGCACGGGAACCACATACATCCCACACGCTTGGCCTGTCTCGCCTCGGGCCGCCCTCTTTTCTATCTAGCTGACATCTCCCATTTGCTGCGTCTGCTGTGCGTATACGGAGTCAGCATGCAAAAGAGAAGACGCGTCAGAGCGTTTCTGCAGAGGCCCGTTGATGCAGCTATCGCCATGCTCCGCCGGGACGGGATATATGCCTGAACGGTGGTTATATCACGAACAGGTGAGGTGCAGCTCCATCACTGGCTTTTGCCGTCCGTGATGGGTGCGCTGCTGCCCAGGGCGTCAGCTATAAACTCCGAGATGGCCTCGAAGTAACCCTCCTCTAGCACACTCGAGTTGTGATCGCCACCAGGGAATGTCTTCCACGTCTTGCTGGGGGAGGTGGAGACATTGTACAGTTGGGTCATATGACTGGGACTGGACAGATATTTCTTGTCAGTTTTTGATATCCGGCACTCGTATTTGGAAAAAAAAAAAGGTTGTCTTGGGTGGGATCGTTCAGGGTTTGATCAAAAGGTTTTTAATCAGAGCCAGGTGAATGGTTCAGATTTTGTGGGTGATGCAATTTGTTCATCATATGATCCGGGGAAATAGAAAGAAAGTAGAGTTTGAACTTACGGGACAATCTCATCTTGCAGTCCGCTGAGGAACAAGATGGGAATCTTGTCAATGGACGGCAAGAGGGATTCGCTGCGCCATACCTGGTGGCACAGCAGAGTAAAGTATTTGGCAGGTGGAAGAACCGAGGGAATAAGTTTGCGCATGGAGAGAAAAGTATTTTCCAGCACCAGACCCGCAATGTCGCCCCGGTCCTGGTTCTTGGCCACTAACTTGATGCTGACGGCTCCACCGAGGCTCTGGCCGTAAACAACAAACCGGTGGTTCCTCGTCTCTGCTCGCTCGCGCAGGTAGTTGAGCCCGGTCTGGGCGTCGATTCCCAAGCCCGCCTCGTCTGGCTCGCCCGTGGAGGCGCCGTATCCTCGATACTCGAGCATGAAGACGTTGCACCCAATCATGTTGATGAAGACGCGCGCGATGGGGAGGCGGTGACCGATATTGCCTGCATTGCCGTGGAACATGAGGATTGTGATGTCCGAGTTCTTGCCGCCACGGGGGCCGCGAATGTAGTAAGCCGAGAGCTTCTCGCCATCGTCGGTGGGGATCACCAGCTCTTCGAAATCCTTGATTCCGAACTGCGTAGGTCGTGGGATGTCGGTTCGAGAGTTTGGCGGCATATGAGAGGGATAAATGAGCGCCCTGCACGGTGAATTGTCAGCTCGATGCCCGCGATGGAGGAGGAATGCCAATGCCAGCGCCGACGTTGGACGGTGGGGGGAGTAAGAGTAAGCTCGACGCACTTTTGTTTAAAGTAGAGGAGGGATGTGAGGATGGCGACAATGCCCTGTTGAGTCACGGTTCGCGGTCAGTCGAGATTCTCTCCAATCGCAATGGCACGATGCAGACGCAGAGGCAGACGCAGATGCAGACGCAAATGCACAATGCAGAATGCAGGATGCAAAATGTCGCTGGCTTACCGTTGATGCCAGAGCTGGCAGGCGCATGTAGCCCGCCGCAGAGGTCAGGAAAGAGGCGGTCTGGCCAAAGTAGCCGTTCGCCATGTTGTTGTTGTGGTGGTGATTATTGCTTGTTGCGCCGGGAGGGGGTGTGTTGGAGTTTGGGGTCATCTTTCCATTCTTGGGAGAAGGTGATGCAGCCGAGCGTCGGATTGAATATCGCATGTGGTCCCATACCCAAGCCACAGCAATTCAGCCCGATGACACGACAACATGTAGTACTCGGGAATAAAAGAGGAAAAAAGAGGGCCCGGGTCTGAACAAAAGTGAGGCGAGCTGTTCGGATTAGGAGGCCAGCGCTTGTTGAGATTGATATTCGCGGTTAATCCACCGGACTGCTGTGGCACGGTTCAGCCGAATGCCCACCCTCTTGTGTTCGGAAGCGCCAAAAGTTTGCTGTCGGTCAGGGGTGTCGGAAGAGAGGCAGGAGACGTCGTCCAGAGAAGCCAATGAAGGCAGATGAAGTAAAAAATGATAAGGATGATAGATTATAGGTTATAACGACAGGTCAGCTTAGTCGACGTGGATCTACTCGCGGCCGCTGGATGCAGTTGAACTGGACGCCACCGTGCAGATTGGCTATGCCGCTGCCTGGAGGCAAGTGTCGAATCGTTGTGTTCCCTTTGTCAAGGCTGCATTGCGTTCATCAGCGTCGAGTCGGTGACCGGGTTTCGCCAGAAGAAGAGAAGGGAGAGTTTGAAGGAAAAGGAAAATAAAGAAAGGAGCGTGATGGTGAGAATCCAGGAATTGGAGAAAAGAGAGAGAGGGAGAGATTAGGAGGGGAGAAGGGAAAGAGAAAAAAAAATTAATCGACCGAAAAAGTTCCCCAACCCAACCAAATGAATCCAGGGAGCCAGACGGACCGTTGCTTTCCCGGTTAGATGCTCCGTAATAGTTGAATCGGCATCGGCGCATCTGGTTACGGTAACGAGCAGGTACGAGTAGTGAGTAGTATTAGTATTTTGATTAGCTCCAGCGCTGTGATTGCAACGAAAATTGGAGTGGAAACGTTCAATCTCCGCCAGGCGCGAGCGGTGGCCAGGCTGCCCTGCAGGGCATCGCGGGCGCGTTTCGAGCCATTTGCCGTGATTTGATTCGGGCAAAAGGCCAGATGTTAGCCGCCAGCGTTGGATGGAGATGATGTTCTCCAGGCCCAATTGGCCTCGTTAAGCGCTGCCTTGCTAACTGATACCAAGGGAAGCGCTGAGCTGGGGATAATTGAGGTTCTCGCGGGCCGAGGGAGCTGCCAACCAGGCACTATTGACAGCCTAACACTAAATTCACCACTAGTCGTAGTACGAGGAGCTGAAGGCCCAAAGATCTGGAAATCTGGGGTTTTCTGGAAGTGAGCTTTGATTGCGAATATCAGTACCCGATACCTTAGCCGCAGCGCCATTTGCGGTCTCTCCACAAGGTACTCCCTACCTCCGGACCGCCCACTACCAGTCTCCATCTGCCTCGGCAGCAGCCCACCACAGCAAATTGTCATTGGCGACACAAGATAAGGGCTGACAGCTGGCTTCTAAAAGAAGGGATTTGGATGCTGCTGCTGCTGCAATGCAAACGCTCTGCATCATGCACTCACCGACCGGCTGCAGCTTCAGCCCAGCCTCACCTCAGACAAACAGCTGATTGCTGACGAGCTCGATGGCTGATCTGATGCGTACGAGGACAACAGACCACAGAAGCGGTGTCCATCTTCGACATCAATGACTCGGATGAATCACATCTCATGTGAAGCAATGTTTGATACGAGTAGTAATACTATATGCGCAGCCCGGATGAGGGAATGCCGGCTTGGACTTGGCTCTGATCTTGTACTTGCGGCCAAGGTAAGTCACTTAGAAACGTACGGTTCATTTGATGCTACTTTCCACATTCATGATGCCATCATCGTCAACTCCCATTCTAGAAGATTCATCGAGGACAAACATTCGACAGCATCCGTACAAAGCATGGTCCGATGAGCAAAGCAGCATTAGCCGTGGCTTAACTGCACAGGTACGAGCTGCTGTAGCTGCATCTGCACCGCCCAGGCCAGGCGCCGTGCCTCTTCCTTTGACTCGCTTGCAAGCAGTGCGCCTCTGGACCTGCATAACCGGAGGCAACGGACAGAAGATCCCGCTTCGAGTAGGTGCCCCCGCCGGCCAGGATAGAGACATCACAATAAGCAGGGCGAAACGGATGTGCCAGTAGCTCGTCACAATTCTCTGCCGTGGTGGTTGTGTCGCAGAACCACCACACGGGGCTAGTCTAGTACCAATATTGACCTCAATTCATCACCATGCATCGCCGGGCTTGGCTGAGGGATTCAAGATTGGCCGCTCCGCTGCTCTCATTCGCCTGGTGTCTGAGCAAGTCTGAAACATTGTGGCAGCATTTTAATGCGACGCCATTCCTTACTGGGCGCGACTTTGTCTCTCGCCTCGAGCGGCAGCAATCATGAAAATGCTAGCCCGCGCTCCCAACTCCGTACCGGACCTGAATGATGAGTCGTTTGAACCGGATAGACAATCATGCCCGTATTCACTTGACACCATCCCGCCCTGGGTTCTGAGACATGCATGATGCAGCATGCATGCCTCCCTCCACCGACCAGAAGCAGGTATGCGGTAGTCCAGTCAAGCCAGTGCTGGCCTGCAACTTCTGCTAGCATCATGGACGGAGCCCTTCTCCATCCATCCATCTGCGCATCTAGTCGCCACACGTGCCGCGCATCTCATTTTAAATGTTACAGATGACCTCTGGCGGAATCTTGGAGGTGGGCAAGCGGCCGGTGGCACGAGGAGCGCGTGAGGTGGATGGCGAGAGGAGGCCGACGATCGTTATCGCGTGTTTGCTGCGTGGGCATGCAGAATATCGAGACCGAAGCATGAGACATTGATAAGCTCAGAAGCCAACGGGCTAAGAGGCAATAAAGGCTTTGTTCCATATGATCTCGTACCTGTTTTAGCAGCAGTACAGTAGCAGACGCAAGATTACAGTCCATATCATTCGTACCAGCAGCACTCCGTAATACACACCCGGAATACCCATCCGCTGCCCCCGTCTCTCGTTAGCCTGCTCCATTCCATGGAACGGAATATGCATGCACTACCTTAGCACCAACCCAGCAGGACCTGGCTGCATCTGGGTGATCCATGAGACTCGTTGTGGACAAGCACAGGCAAGCTGGGCAAATGGGGGCTTGACGCAGCCCCAAAAGCCTCCCCCTTCCAAGGTGCAATGCAAGATGGCAGACGCGCATCACAGTCACGTCGTGGATTGGGCCCGTCCCTGCGTCGACATGGGCTGCTTGTTTATGGTCTGTCTGTCTGTCTGTCCGTCTGTTACTATTCCCATTCCCATCCCTGGCCGGCTGGCGCTGACGAGGCGCCTGCACCGTCTCTCCCAGCGTCCAGTTGGATTGCTGACGGGGTCGGTTGGCTCTCCATGCCTCACATTGCGTCTGCGTTGGCGCTGATGTTGGCGCTCGCAGGATGGATTTTACCTGCGGCGATGCTGCCATACCATCCTGCCAAGATTTCGTTTGTCTTGTCTTGTTGAGTCTGAGTGAGGCGAGGCGAGGCGAGGCACAGGCACAAATTATGGGGTATCAAAGAAGAGAGCGGTGATGACGGCTTCTCGCCTTTGCAGCCGCGAGCTTCTCTAAACAGCAGCTCACAACCTTTGTCAGTCAGTGCTCATGCACTCGCTCGTACCGGCACTAGATGGAGTCTTTGTTGACACACTTCTTTGGCCCCCATGACTTTTAGGTGCTTGTGCTACTGCCGTGGCTGCACAACAAAGAGACCGCCTCTTTTTTTTTTTTTTTCTCTTGTTCCATTCTCTTCTTGCCGTCTCGACCATGGCAAGGCTCGGACAAGGTCGTCGTCATCACCGTCATCACCGTCATCACCGACGTCTTGGGCCGCCATGAACAAAGAAAAATTCGGGTTTGTGGTACAATTTGATATCCACGTCGACGGTAGGGTTTTAAGCGATTGTTGCCTTGGCTCTTCCCTGCCAAACAACTCCTTGGGCGACATCGCCAGCAGAGCCCCAAAGTGGCCATCGCCGTGCACTAGACGGCCTAAGATGACGCCGGGGCGTGCATCTGCATTGATTAGCTCATGTGACCGTTGCTGGAAATGAAGCTCTGCAGCCAATCGCCGCGCTGCCTCACTCGAGTTTCGAGTTGTGGCGCTGGTTGCCGGGCGTGTGTTTGGGAGCTGGCATGGGGTGAGTATAGTAGTAGTGGCAACAAAGATCTGGGTTCTCTGCCGTTCACCGCAGCAAGGCAGGATTTTCGGTGCATTTTTGGACTTTTCGCTTGCTCCCAAAGAGAAGCCCTACCGCGCCGCCTGGTGCCCAACAGGGATCAGAGCGGCCAGATAGGGCTCAGGACTGGAACACGAAAGAGAAGAAAGAAGAAAAATTCATGGGTCTGTGCCGCCAAACGACGTCGTTGTGCAGCGGCGCAGGCAGAGGCAACGGCCAGCTGTACGACGGAGCTGTAGCCGCCTTGCCTGGCGAGAGGATAAAAGCGAACAACAAACTCTGGGTATGGAGATTCATGTTGCAGCTTTGGAGGGTGGCATCCACCATCCATTACGCGCTTCTAGTGCAGTTAGCCGGTACACTTAGCACCTACCGCCACTATTTTACAGGCACCACCTGAGCTGGGAATTACCACCTGGGCACTCAATACCAGCAACAACAACGGGAACTGGGACGGCGATAAATCTCTACCGCCTTTCCAGGTTGTGATTCCATTTTGATCAATCCCTCGCTCACCTCCCAAAGCCCAATATTAATATTGCTTTGAGCCCTGGAGACTAAAATCCTAAATAACCCCCCCAGCTGCCGACTATCAGTTCAAGCCTCTTCCCCTTCGTCTCACTTCCATCAATCTCACTGCCACTTTTCTCACTTCCCCGGCACTACGACCCAGGCCTTGCTTGGCGGCTTTTCTTCTCCCCTCCCCCCCTCTAAATCGCCCCTCCATTCCCCATTGCCCACTTCCATTCCCTCTTCCCGTTGATCAAAGGGCCTATCGGATTCTATTTTTTCTTCTTGCAATTTTTTCTCTTTCTTCTCTTTGCTCTTTCGCACGCCCTCAATCCTGAGACGCATTCCTCCAACAAAGCACAAAGCAACCCCTTGCGTCTCCGCGAGCCACGAAGCACTGCGCGCATTCATTCGATTTGCCCAGCTGCCTCTGCGACACAAAACAACAAAGCAGGAAAATTCTGCTGAATCCCGGCGTCTTCTTCCGCCAGCTGGAATCCCGACTGCCTGCTTTTGACGCTGCCGCAGCCGCTGCACCTCGAGTTCTCCATCCGCTCGTCGTCGAATCGCAACCCCCGTCGAGGAGAGAAAAAAAGGCCTGCGGCCACTCAGAATCCAGGAACCGGCAAACTTTTTTTTCGGGCGCCCAATCAATCGCGACGCAAACATGGTTTCTTTCTCGTGTGAGGTACGCACTAACCAACTTACATGCTTTTTGTCTTGTCCATCCCATGCTTTGGCTAGTCCCCTGGCCTGGTCTGCCATTCCCTTCCGTGGCGCTGCGCTCGCACCCCCCGGTCGCTTCTCCAACATGCGATATGCCTTGGCCCTATTCATAGCCTGACATCACTTGCTTTGCACACACCACCCTCCATGAGGGCTGCTAGTATTACTGTCCAGCGCCGGACGAGTAACACTATTTCAAGCATCCCTTCTGCTGCGTCCCGCTGATCCCTCGGGTCCACTCCCCTGTCTCGTCTCGCAAACTCCCCTCCCCCTCCCCCTACCCGCAACCGCGCTTTCATATATCCATCCACATCTCGCATCACCTCTTCTGCATTGCACTAGTCTCTTTATCAACTCCCGGCCCTCTACCTCTACCTCGACCTCGACTTTGTCCTCTGACTTTGTTTACATATAGGAGTGCGGTGACATCCTAACCAAAAAGAAACTTGACCCTCATCGCAGCCGCTGTCGAGGCGCAACCTTTACCTGTATTGATTGCATGGTATACTTTCCCGGCGTCGAATACCGTTCTCATACAGTAAGTCCTGGCTTGAATCTGGGGTTGTTGTTTGGTAGGGCTAACACGGCACCCCTCAAGTCTTGCATGACAGAAGAGCAGAAATACCAAGGCGCATTGTATAAGCCGAAGCAAAACAACAAGAAGCAGCAGCAGCAGCAGCAGCAGCAGCAACAACAACAACAACATCAACAGCAACAGCCCACCATGAACTCGCATCGGTTAGGCATGGCCAACACGCTGGCCCTGCAGCCATTTGTCGAAGATGTCAACGAAGACAAGGAATACGAGTCGTGGCACGAGTACGAAGACAAGTCTCGACCTCCACCCGAGGCGCCAACCCCTCCATCTGCCGCCGACGATGACCACGTCAACGTCTTTGACTTTCTAGACAACTCTCAAACCCCGACTGCCTCAAACGTGAGCCATGCGCGAGACCGAAAAGCTCCTGGTCCCAGCGACAGCACCTCTCTTGTGCGCTACGAGACAAAGAGCGGAGAGCTCCTGGAGCCGGTTCTTATGGACCGAGACGGAGAGCCGCTTGTACAATACGGAACCGGCCCTGTACCCACGGGTTCTCTCGCCACCCCTCAACCCAAGACCGAGCGACGGAGGTCAAAGGAACGCGATGCCAAGAAGGACAAGAAGCGGAAGCGCTTGCACGTCGATGTTACTGGCGACCAAATCATGGCTGATGCACCTCCCGTTCTTCACTCTGGTCTCACTGGCGGCCTGAAGAACATGATGCGACCTGCCTTCCCACCCTCACCCGATTACTCTGGAGACAACATTGCCGATCTCTCCCCAACAAGCCCGCTCAAGAAGACGAAGCACTCTCGACACCACAAGAGCCACCATTCCCACACGATGAGCAACAGCCTCTTTGGCATGATTTCTGGCCCTCCACCCAAGACCAAGTCGAGCAAGCACAAGTCGTCTTCCAAGAAGCACTCCTCCCACAGGCATGAGAAGAAGGAGCCCAAGCTCATCGAGTTCCGACCTGGTTCCAAGGACGGCAAACACGAGAACCTCGACGGGCAGATGATTGTCTTTAAGCCCCGTGCCGATGTCTTCCTCAGCTTCGTCAACAAGGGACCTGAGAGTGAGCGCGGCTGCAGCATGAACAAGGCCTTGAAGCGATTCCACCGGGAGCGCCAAGCCGCCGGCTCTAGCTCCCCCAAGGGCAAGGAAGAGAAGGAACTGTGGCGATCTCTGCGACTTCGACGCAACGACCGAGGCGAAATTGTTCTTTTTTGTGAAGAATAAACAAAAGAAGAAATCAAACGAAAAAAAAAACATAACATGAAAAAAATGGAAAACAAAAATTCGACGGCCTCGTCCAAAGGACGGGTCCTGCTCAGTGTTACTTGGATACAAGGAGTTTTTGCTGGATCATCTTGCTTTCTTTTGACAGCGTTTTTATATGTTTTGGCCGGAACGGAACTGTACTACTATGTCTTCTATCTGTCATACTATTCTAAAGGGTCATGGATAGACGGGCACACTTGGTCTTCCCCCCCTGTAACAACATCAACATCGACGACAACATTTCCAGGAATTCTGTGGCAAAAGGCGCGCCCCTACGGAGCAAACATTTGGGGTTTGCGAGAGGTAGCTGCTCTTGGCCATGGAATGGAAGTCGTCAACTAATCTTGTGGCATTAATACTGTGGTATGAGACGGAAAGATGGGCATTGAGGGCAGTAATGACGGAGATGAATGATACCATGAAGGGAGGAATGTGTGATGGGAAAGCTTCAATTCTCTTTGTTTTATTTATCTTGTCCTTTTTTCATTTTCTTTGTGTATGGTGGCATAAGAGGTGGATCATTGGCTGACAAGCCTTACGAGGCATCTGCTCTATTTCATATCTATTCTTCTACATCTTGTTTTCATTTCCTGCAAACAACGTATTACTACTACTACATGTATGGAGTATTACAACCTAGCTATCCAAGAACATCTGAATTTTATTTCAAAAAAGAGTTTCGTTACATGACGCGTAAGGGGAGGATGTGCTGTACCATGGCCTCTCTTCTGCACAAAGGACACTCGGGCTTTTCTCTAACCCAATCACCGATGCATTCCCAGCAGAAGACGTGACCGCATTGCGTGGCGGCGGGATCCTTCATCTCCTCGAGACACAGCGTGCATTTGCGCTGCTGGCTTCCCTTGATGTATCCCATGGTGGACTCGTTTTCGAGGTGGAATCTCGGAATGCCGCTCATGGGCGTGTGTGTTGTCGTAGCGATGTCTACCTTGCTGGCTGGGGCCCCGTTGGTTCCGCTGAGCAGAAGCTCGTTGTTGGATGCGGTGTAGGTGTTGTTGTGGCTGAGCGAGACGTCAAGCTCGCCCGAGTGGAAGGCGGCCCTCTCGCGCTGGGAGGAGGCGACGGAGGAGAAGGTTTCGCGGACGTGGAGGAAGGCCTGGACGCCCATCTGGATGGCGAGCAGGACGCCGAGGAGCTCGTAGCCGCCGCGGTCGGGGGTGTCGGGGACGGTGCGGGTGAATACGTAGCGCAGGGAGAGGAGGCGCTTGGAGAGCTCGTAGTAGGTGCCGTTGAAGTAGAAGAGGGCGAGGACGACGGCCTGCAGCGGCGCGGCGGACGTGACGGACGAGAGGTGTGTGGAGAGGTAGTCTAGAAGGCGAGCCTGGCGCGTCTTCGTCTTGCCCTGCTGCTTTAAGGTAGCGAGGCGCCGGTCGAGAAGGGCTCGTAGCCGGGCGCGGAGGCCGGGCAGGATGCGGCTGGCGAGGTAGGGGAGCAGGATCGTGCCGACGATGTAGGCGGCGCGTGAGGGGAGGGCGGGCAATGAAAGCCCCGCGCTGCTGGCGTCGACTTGGACGAGGTCGCAGTATTCTTCGCCGAGGGTGCGGTTGCCGGGGAGGGTGGTGAGGCCGAAGTAGAGGAGGGAGGCGGCGGTGCGAAGTTCGGGGGCGAGGGAGTGGGCGGAGCGGGCGCCGAAGAGGCGGCGGTAGAGGTCGGTGAAGGAGTTTGAGAGCTGGCCGGTGAAGTAGGCGTCCTTTTGGTGGGAGCGGACGATGTCGGGGGCTGCGGCGAAGGGGTAGGGCGTTGTGGAGGATGAGGATTGTGATGATGGTGTTGATGGTGATGGTGATGTTGTTGTTGTGGCGGCCATGGTTGGTGTCTGTGGGTTCTCCTTTTTCTTAATCCCCTCTCTCTCTTGTTCGAAGCGATAGGCTCGCTATGTGGAATTTAAAGAAAGTCGCAATGTTTGTGTGTTGAAATGTATTGTGTTTGAGGAGTGGTGTTTTGGATGGCGAGACGGTTTGGAGGAAGTTGATGTTGATTTGGAAGCTGAAAGTTTTGGGTCCATTGCAGCTTTCGGCTGTACTGTAGCGCTATACGCTGGACCTCGGGACAGTTGACGAGAGCCCCATGTGCCGCTACCGTTGAAATCGGCTAGGCTAAGGAAGATTGCCCGAAGCCATGTGGTGACATACAGATGCAACAAGATTGCGTTTGGTGCTAAAGTAGATTGATCAAGGGCATTACTTTCATGTGAGTATGGAGAAACGTATTTTTGAGCCTGGAGATTGTTATTTTCAGGAATTCGACATTGAACGCAAATGGTTCATCTATGGGGCAAATGCTCTGTTTGGAGATGACTACTTCTGGAGACTTGTTGAAAGACGATGCTCAAAGACTAACATTATTCCGGACGGTTGTTTGATCAATCTTTTAATAGGTAAAGTCATGAGGCATCAGTATCGAAACCTAGAAAACCTCAATCCTTTGATCAGAGATGTCAGAAGATCAGTTTGATTACGCTTGTTATTTTGTTTGGGTTAGCAGAATCTCGGCATTGTTCAGTTACGGTTACAGTTACCGCTAAGAAACTAGCAGTGACGTATTGCTGCTAGATTGCGCTGCGGCAGGGACCTTTTTCCGCACCTACCCTTTAATTTTGGCGCCAAAAAATGCAAGGGACAGCTTGGTCCTTTGTCGCCTCAGACATCAAATCACTTCTCCCGTCTTCATCGAACTGCCCAGACATTGGCCTTGACCAACACACAAAGCGTGCGCAGCAAGACACGCAGCCGTTCGTTCGCCCTCCTCTCGGGATCAATCGCAGAGGCATCCGCTCCATGTCTAACCCCTTCATGCTTATTTGCGGGTGCAATTGGGTTGACTACACGTTTCCATCATGGATGGCGATCCGGCCGTAGAGCCTCAGCTCGATGGCTTCAGCCTGGTGTTTCCTCTGCCGTACCGAGTCGGCTTTATCGTCACTCTAGGTTAGTCCCGTTTGCACCCCTTGGGCTTTCCCTTGGGAAACAATGTTTCTACGAGGGCATTGATAATGCTGACAGCATGCTGAATAGCTGTTTGGGGATGGGGCCTTAACCTCCATTGGCTGCATGGCTTCCGAATCGACGTTCCCGCCTTGATCCGATACCCTGGACGAAGCTCGCCGCAGCACATATCACATCATCTGTCTACATACCGACTCGCAATAGTCTTGACGGCGCTGTTTTCGCTGTCCATAACGCTGTTCTGGCTGTGCACCTGGCACGTGCCAGCCCGGGTCATTGACTACGACTGGATGCCAATGACATACCTGGTCGCGCTGGTGGCCATCTTCTTCGTTCCTTTGCGAAATCTGCCTACCGGTGGCCGAAGACGCTTCCTTGCGACGCTGCGGCGGGTGAGCATAGGCGGCATTGCAGAGGCGCAGGATGGCAAGTTTGGAGACATCTTGCTGGCTGATGTCTTGACATCATATGCCAAGGTGTTTGGAGACGTTTTCGTCACGCTGTGCATGTTTCTCAGCGCCGGAGGCTCCTCGACAGACCACCCCAACAGGAGCTGCGGGGGGACGGTCTTTGTTCCGCTGCTCATGGCTGTGCCAAGCATCATCCGTTTCCGGCAGTGCCTCATCGAGTACCTGAGAGTTCGACGGGCCCCGTACAAGGAGTCCTCGGGCTGGGGTGGCCAACACCTGGCCAACGCTCTCAAGTACTCTACCGCATTCCCCGTCATCATCACAAGCGCCATGCAAAGGGGGGCCGGGCCAGAGAGCGACATGGTCGCGCTGCACCGAGCTTGGCTGGTCGCCGTTTTGGTCAACTCGCTCTACTCCTTCTACTGGGACGTTGCCAAAGATTGGGATCTGACACTCTTCTCGTCGCGAGAGCGAGCATCAGTGCACCACCCGTGGGGGCTGCGTGATCGGCTCGTCTTCCGCTCAGCTGGCCTGTACTACTTTGTCATTGGCCTCGATTTAATGCTGCGCTGCTCGTGGTCGATGAAGCTGAGCCCTCATCTGGACAAATTTAGTGACTATGAGAGCGGAATCTTTTTGATTGAGCTACTCGAGGTGTTCCGGCGGTGGATGTGGATCTTCTTCCGCGTTGAGACGGAGTGGATTAGGAATTCCTCTACGGGCCTCGGCATTGACGATATTCTGTTGGGCGACTATCAGGGGAAAGATGATGACGACTAAGCAACGATTGCAGTAGTATAAAGATTTGAGGTTTGTCATATTCACTTTTGGCGAAAAAGAGAGAGAAAAAGAAAGGACTATTTTTAGGAGACATCATATTCTGTATATGGCAGTTGGCGTACTTGGGCTCGATACATTTTGGTAATCTTTTTTTTTTTTTGTCTTTTCTATTTATATAGACATTTACGGACCATTCGGTATTACCTAGCACTTTGCATACACATTGTCTGCACTATTTCATACTTGGGACAAGGGGTCAGAAGAAATTGGGGGCGGCAGGTTAGGAGCTTGGCAAGCGTATATGAATACAGATGCAGGGCTAGACAAATGCCGGCCGTCGTACCACCATAGGGATGAAAGCGAACGATATGCTTATGGCTGATTGGAGGAACCAGAGAGGTCGGCTAGACGATCATGGGTCTTTTTCTCCGACCAGTCAGTTGGCGCGCGGGCGATTATCACCGGCATCGACGGCTATTTGACAACGCAAATTAAAGACATCAGCAAGGCGAGGCTCTACGAGTATATGCGAATATTTTGACAGGCAGTGGGCAGCCCCCACGCGGAGGATAATCATCCTGATTACACAGGCAAACGAAATGAGCCGAGGAAGTCCGCCGCTGATTGCATTGGGTCCTAAACTCCGTAAATCAGTTGTGAGCATGAAAAAGTGATGATCCAGCAGATATTACGGATCAAGAAAAATTGCTTGGCCTACAGGTTACAGGTACGGAGCACGCCTTTTGCTCTCCACGGACTCCGCTCGCAGGGATGAGTTCAATTGCTCAGGGGACCACGCGACTTCGAAATCAACATGCCCATGCAACAAGTTTCTGCGCCTGCGCCACGTGCATTGCGTCTCAAGTCTGCTTCGCATGATGAGACGTCACTCGGGGGAGAGGAGAGCTGTTTTAGAAGCGACATGGGGGCCTCGCCATGCAAAATGAAAGACACAAAGAGTCAGGCGTTGGGGGTTGGAAAAGAGACCTCCCCGAACTGGACAGGACCAGGAGCCCATGCCTTGTTACCGAGTCCCCGTTAGAGGGGCTCCCAGGTCAGTGCCCTGCAGGCAATGGCCAGTTTAGACGATAGCGTCAGCATTGGCACGTCTGCTGTGCTCCATTCCGGTGCATTGGGTTGAGCTAGTCAACTGACAGAAGTTGGCAGTGCGACAGAACGTTGCAGCAAGACATGGGCAGACGAAGAGTTTGCATGGAGCAGCCGCGAAAGACTGGCCAGTTTACATGCATGTATGTACTCCGTGCTCCGTACGGAGAACAATGTAGGTCCGTCGGGGCGGTGCGACGGCGAGGGTGAGGGTGAGGGTGAGGGTGAATGGATTGCATGTCCCGGACAAGGGGCCTCGGAGATGCAAAAGCGAAATTGCGTTCCAGGCCGACGAGCTGCAGCACTCGTATGCTGGGAAGACTCAAGGATTACCACCATGCTGCATAAACGGGGGGAAAATACTCGGCCAGGTATACTCGTATGGGAGCCCTGGATATGGATACGGGTACTGCTAGTACGAGGCACGGGACGCTGGGCCGTCGACCGAGGCGAAAGGCTTCAGAAGCAGGGAGGATGAGGATGAAGGGAAAAGTATCGATGGGCATGTCAGACTGGAATGATGGGAACCCATCACACGCCCGTTTCTCTGCAGGTCCTGCATGTTTCGTCTGTGCTGATAGGACAAAAGGCTGGAGAAGGAAGAGACAAAGCGGCTTGAAGATGTTACACGGGCCATATAGGATGACACACCGAGAACCCGACGATGAAGCCCATGGCCAGGCAGCCTTACAAGCATCTTGAGCTGCATTCCCCCAGAAGGTTGTGCAAGCTTGGCAAAGGATGAAGGCTCCTCTCGGGCGGGTCACGGGCCGCGTATATGTCGTTGTCATGACGATTTCTGTTCCTCTTGGTGTTCATTCCTGTGCCGTCGTCGTTCTTCTGGCCTTTGTCGTTTGAACAGCCCTGATGCAAACCGTTTTTTTTTTCTTCTTCTTCTTCTTCGGCCTTGTTCATATTCCTCCGGACGATTGCCATCAGGCTTACTCGTTCAGTACATTCCCTTTATGTCGACGGTTCGTTTGTCCTGCCAATCTGTTGCATAGGTGCGGGCAATCGTTCCTCCACTCGGCACTGATGATCGGCCATGCCGGATGAGGTTGCTGATGATCTTACTGTTTGTTCGTTTATCCACGCCCTGCACCCACCCCCCCTTGGGGTTTGTACGAGTATACGTTGCATATACTTTTGTACTCGTCCTTTGTGTATGACCTTCCGGAATACAAAGGCGCGAAAGTATATGTATATCGAGTTCGTTGTCGCATCTTTGTACGACTTTGTGCATCACAAGCACACGTTCCGCGTTGTTGCACCCGACGCCCATACACACTTACATACGCACTTACATGCATACGCCCATCTGTTTCCGCGTCTCTCTCCCTCTGTCTCTCCTCTCTCCCCTCTCTCACATTCACGCTTTGTATGCATGTCCATAGGACCAATTCGCATCAAATCACTTATACTATCTGTGCGTTCTTGTCTCTCACAGCTTAGCAATCGAAGGGGGTGGCCTTGTGGGGGTGGTTCCAAGCACAGACTCCGTGGTGTGGTTTTCCTGCTCCATCGCTGTCACTGTCAATTTTATACCCCAGAGGCCGGTGCACCCATTTCCACGTGGGTACCATTGGGATTGCCTGACCCTGCCTTGACATTGCTTGCCTTGGGTTCTGCCTGTCTATCTTTTTTATACCAGGTGTGTGCCCGCCGTTCTGCTTTTCTGCCCTTTCTCCCTCATTAACAAATCTCAAGCAGGCCAGTCTTGGGCTCGAGCTGAATTAACATACCACTTCTTCCCACTTCCTCATCTAGCTCTTACTACTAGTAGTTTGTTGGTCCTTGGGTATAATTCACTGCCGGAAGATGCTCCACCTAAGGTCCAACTCCGATCCACCACTGAGTCCCTCGACGCTGGCTTCCTGGGATTTGCCTATCTTGACGAGTCGGCCTGTGACGCCTCTGGCACTGCAACCACACGATGCCGACGCCTATGTGAAGAGGCCTCTCCCGCCTCTGCCTCCCATGAAGAACAACTCGGCTGCTGTTCCGCCGCCTCTCAAGATCAACAAGAAGAGGAGCAAGCCAGCCGCCCTGCCAGTGGGGCCGGGACCGAAGAATGCGCCGCAAATTGAAGCTGGAGCTGAAAGTCGAATCGCCTCGCCCTCGCCCGCGCCCTCGCCCCGCCAAGCCCCGAGCACCCCCGTCAAGAACGCCCATCCGCCTCGCCAGTCGAGCCTCCCTAGCCCTGTGGCCAGCCTTAGGCACCGAAAGTCAAAGAAGGTGCTGCAGCTCATGGGGCTCGACGTCGACGTTACGAATCTCGTCGGCATCACTTCCCAGGAGGCCGAGAAGGAGGCTGTGACTCGAAGCAGCCGAAGCTTTGAGGACCCATCTGCCCCGAATCCGGCTGCTCTTTTGCAGCTTCCAGAGGAAGGGCTAATCCCTGTTTTGGAAGACGATGATGGTATGGCTAGCTTGTCGAGCAAGAAAAGCTCTTGGGGACCAGGATCGCCGCACTCGACGTCTGCATTTCCCCTGGGCTCCAAGAATTCTGTTCGCCGCCGCCGAAGTGCCCGGATCTTTGACCAGGATGGCTTAGGCCATCTTGCGGCGCAGGAAGATAGCTTCGTGCCGTCGAACGAGGAGGAAGAGCTAGGCGATGAGAGTGACGAAGACTTGACAGCTGGCGAGTATCACAAGTTTGCTGTCGAGCTGGCCTCCTCCGCGGTGCCCAAGACTAGCCTCGACGAAGTCAATGCTGCAGAGTCCATGGGGAGGCGGTCATCCATCTTGAGCTTCAAATCAGGCTCTCATTTCTCTCGCCTCCGAAGGAAAGCAACCACTTCCGTTCGACCAACCACTGCTGATCCGCACTCGCACTCTAGGAGAGTGGGCAGCAGCGGTTCAGTCGAGATACCTCCTGTCCCTGCTCTTCCACCTGCTGAGCCCGAGGAGCCCTCGGTTCCCAAGAGTGCGTTTGATGAGAGCGACTCGGATAGCGACTCGCGACCAAACAGCAGGAGCCGATGGCGCAACCGTTCTTCACACAAGGAAGAACGAGGTAGAGACTCGCCGGCGATGGTGCGCCGAGACGACGAGTCGAGCCTGTCGCGAGGATGGGCGAAGACAGGAGACTCAATGAACCGGCTGCTGACCGTCGGTAGAAGACGGAGGGACCAGCAGCAAGCTGGCGTCGTGAGCGAGAATGTTTTTGCGTAAAAGCAAGCGAGAGAGAAAAAAAACCCCAACTTGAATTCCCCTTTTCTTTATCTTTTCCCCCAGTCTTATTCACGAAACGAAGACATGATCAACAATGGGCACGAATCTATGTACAAGCATGGTGGACGTTATCTGGACTGTCGTTTTTCCCCTCCCCTGGTTTCTTTGTCTTGTGTTTCTTTTCTTTTCGTGCATTTATAAGGAGTAATGGGCTTGCACATGGATATCCCCTGTTTGGTTGGCAAATTGCCTTTGTCTGTATACGACTATATACCACATTTCCTTGAATTTGTTACACATATAAAAAAGGTCGTTGATAGAAGGGTATTTGGATTAAACAACGACTATAATATCGGAGCATAAAAAATTGACGGAAAACTGAAAGCACATCACATAATCCCAAGTCTGAGTGACATTCTGCATCTGTGACTATGAGTGTTCCTGTGAATTGATGTCAGATTTCATCAGCCAGTTTCCTCATCTGCCGACGCTAACGAGGCCTAAGATTTTGAAAAAGAAGCTTGGGAAGTGTTTAGATCCCGCGACGGGCCGAAAAGGATAGTCCTATATATATCGTGCATAGGTATATAAGAAAACTCCACTGGCTTGCAGGACGACGGGCGCAAAAGAGATGCAGGCCCGTGCCCTGATGCGATTGGAACGATTGGTGATGACGAAGTAACATTGGTTTCTTTGCAGAACGATATAAGGTTGTTCGATGCTGTGAGAACTAGGCCGTGCCGGGGACTGCCTTTTTTGGTCAAATACTTGTTCTTATTATAGCATCGTCATTGATGTTTACTTTTGGAATGGGTGAGGAGGAGATGGGATTTGGGTAGGTATGTTGGTTGATGAGGCTGTGGGGGAAGGGGAGGAGGAATGTTGGAATGGGTTGGTATGTTTTGCGGTCGATCGCCCGATGGGCTATTTTGCTTGTTATCACTGTTACTCAATGGTTTGTTTTCTTGTTGTTGAAATATTTGGAGTTGGTAAAGTGACAGGATCCGTAGTATGGTAGAGTGTAAGCCCATATACTTATTGATCACCAGGTCACAAGTCTTAAACCTTGAGAATCTCAATCATCAACACAACATGCGGCTTCTTTTCATCATCGGCCGATCGACCGAACAACTTCGTAAGAGTATCCCTCATTCCCATTCTCCCGGGTAACGGGGTAACCAAGTTTCGTGTGTTTTGTCTCAGTAGCAAGGCCGATCATATTCGCCTCATCCGCTGGAATGCCGGCACTGCCAACCAGCTCTCTGTTTTTCTTTCAATGGGCTCATCTCATTCTCCCTTAAGCCTTTCAGCGGTATATAAGAATTGCAATTGTTCTTTCTCTTGCAAAATCATGCTCTTCAGCGTCCTTCACTCGTTGAAACCAATCATCCGCTCGCTCTGAATATCCTTCATACTTGCAAAACCACAACTCCATCAAAAATGCGTTCCACCATCATCATCACCGCCTTCATCGCCTCGGCCCTCGCCGACTACACCGGCAGCGACGGCACCCCCGAGGAATGCGCCGTCAAGTGCACCACCGCCCACGACGCATGCCTCGTCAAGCCCGACGCCAACAGGGCCGAATGCGCCTCCGAGTACGCCGCCTGCCTGGGCTACAACCCGTATGAAGGCACATTCGTCAATCCCACGGCGTGCTCCAAGACGACGACGGCGACGACGGCTGCTCCCACGCAGACAAAGACGCCGGAGGACGAGTGCAAGTGCTACGACGAGTACAACATGTGTCGTAGCGCCCCTGGAGCAAACATGTCGTACTGTGCGTCTCAGTATGCAGGATGTTTGGGATACAATCCTTTTGATGGGCAGCATGACCCGGAGGAGATTGAGAAGAAGTGCAGCAAGCCCATCGTCACTCCCACTCCCACTCCTACACCTCCTCCTAAACCAGACTGCCGTCACATCAAGGAGTGTGGCGAAGAGCGCGACAAGTGCAGAGGCAAGCCCGATGCCAACCAGGCAGAGTGCGCGTCCGAGTACGCGGGATGCCTCGGCTTCAACCCCTTTACCGCTGAGGGAGAGCAGACCATCAAGAAGTGCGAGGAGGATCACGATCACGATCACAAGCCTCCTCACAACGGGACTGCGCCTCCCGTTCACCCTACGAGTACGCTAACACCCGTCATTTCTGGCGGCTCTGGCGTGAGGCCGCTCGAGCTGTTTAGCTTGTTGGCTGCCGGTGTTGCTGCGTTCTTGTAAAGGGGATTGAGTCTGATTGTGCGAGACGGTGGTTGGGAATTGTTGATTGGGTTCACAAGTCAATAAACTGTAGCTTAATGTCGGTGCCGTCGTGTTTGTCGTTTCATCCCGCATAAGGCATATTAATCATAACAAGGCGCAAAATACATTTAATCTCTTCCATCTCATCGAATCTCAAGCTTCACTGTAGTTCCGTCCGTGAATCAAATCGGATCGGAGTAAGACGCGACTAATCACCGGCTTGTCAAAACTTGGCCCCGTCCGGCCGTCGGCCCGTTCCTCGGCTTGTGTCATCGGATCCCCCGCTCAAACAGTTCCAGATGGCGAATGCGATAGGCCGCCCTTTGCTTTGATTCCCTCATCATCCATTCATTACCTCCGACGCAAAGCGAAACCCCGTCAGCTTTTCTTTGTAAAAAACGACAAAGAAAGAAAAGCTGGCACTGCGACTCAGGAATCGCGTTGCTGCTGACGCTGGAAAATGACCGCTCAGGAACAACAGCAGCGCAACTCAGAAAGCAGCATCGCCGGATCCGCCGCTGAGCCGGAAGTCGACGCCTCCGACGCTGACGCTGCTCTGTCCGAGGCCGAGGTTGCGCAGGTCAAGAGCCAGATCGCCGAGGCGCTGGGCGTTGCTGTTGCGCACGATTACAGCGGCGCGTCGCTATACTATGATGCATCGACAATGGCGTCACTGAATCCCTTTTCTCTGGTCGGTTTGTGCTTTGGTTATATCGCTTTCGTCTTTGGCCCGGTCCGGTCCTGTCCGGTCTGCGTCCACCATGTGAATGCTTGCTGACATGCTCAATTCGAATTCAAAATAGGCCGCCCTCAACCGATTTAGAGCGTACAAACCTCCCCCGTTCCCGTTATGGGATGCGCTCCCTGCGCGCAAGAGAGCGGCCATCCTGGTTCTCTTGTTTGCGGATAGATGGGGCGACCTGAGAGTTGTCATCACCATGCGCGCGGCCAGTCTGAGGAGCTTCTCTGGCCACGCTGCGTTGCCGGGAGGGAAAGCAGATAGCAAAGAAGAAACACCATGTATGTTATGTTCTCATGCATAGAGACAGGAGTGGGCATCGGCTGACTTGAGGAAACAGACCAGATTGCGCGGCGAGAGGCATATGAAGAGATTGGCCTCCCCATGGACGATTCACGGATTCCCAAACCATTTCGCATCGAGCAGCTCTGCAATCTCCCGCCGTCGTTGGCTCGGACGCACCTCGTGGTGACTCCCTGCGTTGCGTTCCTCCACGCCGATCGCACCTCTCCCGACTCGCCACCAGCTCTCGTTGAAGACTCCATGATCCCCCGATTAGATGCTCGCGAGGTCGCCGCTGTATTTAGCGCCCCTTTCTACAACTTCCTCAAGGAAAAGGATCTACCACCTCGACACGGCGAGACGCTGCCGCCGGGCCACTGGTATGAAGGCGCGTGGACAAACTACAAGGGGGTGCAGTGGAGAGTACACAACTTTTACGTGCCAGTGAACAACCAGAAAGTCTCAAGGCCTAGAAGGGGAAGCGCGGCTCAGATAGAGCTGGCGGATCAGCTGGAGGTTAGCCAGGACCATCAAGGACGGTTCAAGGTCTGGGGCCTGACTGGTAGAGTACTCGTCGACGCAGCAAGGATTGCGTACAACGAAGACCCCGAAATGTTGCACAATCTTGACTTTGGCGATTACGACGTCATCAAGATTGCCCAGGAGGAGGGTGCGCTGGATGATCACGGCGCTCCTGCGAAGAGAGAAGAAGACAAGCCAGCTAAGATGTAATGAAACACACGCGGCACGGGACAAGGCACGGTCTCTGTATGAACCTAGAGTCGGCTTTAATGTTGTTTACCCCTGTATATGGAGTAGGTTTAGACGCTGAATGTTCAATTGGCCTTGAATGGTTCACAGAACTGCTCAGTATAACTGTTTCTCCTCAGCCAAAAGGCTACCGTTGCTGCATATAAAACACGCCATTGTCGCTTTCCAATGCAAAATCCAAGCTGCTTTAAATCGAAGCTGGCCGATACGTATCACGTTTCACTGTCTAATGACAAGCGTTATCCTTTGTGGCCGATGTAGAGTGGCCGAACAAGAGGTAGCCGAGGAAGGCACCCAGCGAGACAGCCACCATGACCCAGCCATTGTATGTCATGAAGACGAGCCTTGATTCGTTAGAAGAAGAGTCAGGGTTGAAGACGTTGGCGAGAAGGAGAATCAATGGACCTACATGAGCATAAAGGCGTAAAAGTTCTGAATGGCATAGAGCGTAGCTTTGATGACGTGGCCTCGCTTGCTGACGCTTTCGCGGTTCTGTCCTGAGCGGAGGAAGGCGGGTGTCTCAGTAACGTTTTCATCATCATCATCGCGATAAGCATGCGCAGTGGCGTCTCAACGGCATCTTAGCATGCGCATGTTCGTTTCTGAAAGGGGATGGACGATTGTGATGGGGATGTGACATGTTTGATACCGTATCAAGCTTGTATAAGAGTGTGCAGATGCCACAGCTCTGTATGCAGCTTTTGTCCTTGTAAGGGACAGGAGGCGGGATCAAAGCAGATAGATAGAGACATGGATTTACTCACTAGGTACAGTTTCCAGCCGCGCCGCCAAAGACGCCTCGTAGCGACGAGAGACTGAGCGCAGAAACTCGTAGCCAATGCCGATGAGGACCACGGCGATGAGGGAGAGGACGAGGGAGAGGTTGGAGCGGATGTGCCACTGGCGGAAGACGATGCAGAGATTGGTCGTGTCCCAGGTGAAGAGCATCTGGAGTCAAGGTGAGTCTGATGAGCTGGATTGTAGGAAGAGGATACTAGATTGCAGATACTCACGCTCATGCTGCACATATCGTCCATGCCACCGTGGCCGCCGTGGCCTTCGTGGCCCTCCATGGAATGCATGTGATGGCTGTGATCCATTGTAAGGAATAGCTGTTATTTGATGACGAGATGGCGATGGCGATGAAGCTGAGAGAAAGATTCCGAAGTAGCAGACAATAATAGAGAGAAAGAAGATGAGAAGGAGAAAAGTGCTGGATGTTGGTGGTTGAAAGCTGATGCTGTTATCGAGGCAACGGCCAGAGCGGTGGCTTTTGGTGGAGCTGAAACATCCATTCATCACACAGGGCAGCTCACGCCATCAACAAAGGGCGTACCGCGGGGGATGTGCCGGTACTCGGTTGTACCAGCAGTAGTGCAACTACCTGCAGCGGGCTGTGGCGGGCTGATGAACTTCGGGCGGGACTAAGCTGGGGTACGGAAAGGTACATGTGAGCAGGTTATGTACTTGGTTGCGGCACTTGTGCCTGTGCCTGTCTCGGAGTTTCGACGCGCTGGCTGGCGCTACAGGGAGCTTGCCATGCTACAGTGGAGTTTTATAGGGGACTCCACTGCTTTTGGGGCTGGCTAGCAGTATGGAGATGACGATCCAACGACTTTAATGGATCTTATACTGTTATACTGTTATAGATGGATATAGGGGATTAAATGGAAGAAGAAGATGGAATCGAAAGAAGTACATTTTCAATAAAAGCAACAGCTGCAGCAGTAGCAACTGCATTGCATCCAACAATGGCAGCCAATCGCATCTCGACAACACGCCAGGCCTCGTGCAGTGCAGGCTGGCCGCGCTGAAACAGTGAAAGGCCAAGAGGGTTCAATAGCAAACAATCCATCCATCAACCACCACCAAAACTTCCATCCAATACAAGCTCGTCTCTATACCTTATCTGCCTCCTTTTCCACCACTCTCTGTCTATCCCAATCCTCCCATTCAAGCCGCCTGCATGCTGCATTGCCTCGTAAACATCAGTCCAGGCCGAAGCTGTGTGACGACAGAAGCATCTGAGCCCAGCCTCGGTGTAACTGCGAGCCAGCCCCTTGCATAACGTTTCTTTTTCTGTCCTGCCTTGTTCCTTTCTTCCATAGGATTCCAGGCGTTTTTCGTACAAATTGATTCCCATTCCCCTTTCAATTCATCTCCAAAAGATAGTCATTCAAAACTTGCTACCATCACTCAAAGGAAGACAGAGAAACAACAAGCACAATGAATGCCATCGAGCAGGCCTTTTCGGCCAGCATCAACACCATGGACCCGGACCAGGTCAATGCGAGCCTCGACAGCCAGAAGCGTTGGCCCATACACAAGGACACGGCGCTCTGCAGCAACATCATGAGCACTATCCAGGCCCCCGAAGGTTCGCTCAGCATCCAAGAATCCACCATTCCGGATGCTGGCTCGGGCCTATTCATCAAGCGGGATCTTGCAGAGGGCGAGCTCATCTTTACGTCTGTGCCGCTTGTTCTGTGCGCAGAGGTTGGCCAGGGCATGGAGGCGTGCGATTTCTGCTTCCAACAGAGACGAAGAGTCTTTCATCCTGTGGAGGACCGCTTTCTCCAACCTGGAGAGGTTCTACCCCCTCTCCACATCTGCAATGGCTGCCGCATGTACCAGTACTGCTCGAAGGTAAGTACAATGTCACTTGCCAGAGCTTGTTCTTTGTCGTCATCATACTCACTAATATGTCTGTGTGTAGTCTTGTTGGCAACGGGCCTGGGACACGGGCCATTTATACGAATGCGGCTTGCTTGCCGGCGCGTCAACCGATGTTGAGACGAGAACATTATACCGTCTCTTGATTCTGATGCGAAAGAAAGTCTTGTTGGCACAGCAGGTAAAAGCCCTGGCCAGGCTTGAGCACGAGGTGGCCAACTTTGAGAGGCGCACCAAGAAAAGCTGGCCGAGGATCATTAGCATTGCCCGCGAAGCCAGGGAACGGACCAAGAGCGAGCTTAGCATTGGTGAGATATTGATGCTGTATGGTATTGTGAGTGTTCCCCCACGGTATAGGTGTAGTGAAATCGGCAGCATGTACATCTATGCATAAGATGGTGGCTAACTTGTCTCCCCTCTTTCTTCTAGATTCGTTGCAACTCGTTGCCGGTCGATCAAACCTATCGAAACGCACCGCTTGGCAACGCCCTTGACTTTGGAGGAGCTCTAATCAACCACTGTTGCGATCCCAATGTTGTCATTGTGTTCAACAGCACTCAGGTGCAGGTTCGGGCTCTCAGAAAGCTCAAGGCCGGCGAGGAGCTCCTTCATTGCTACCGAGACATTGCATATGACTTCACCTTTCGCAATCCGCGAATTGCGGCGAGATATCAGTTCAGATGCCAGTGTATGTCTAATCAACCCCCCTTTGCCTCTTTTACAACGAAAAAGAAGCCAATTAGACAACTTCGGATGCTTATAAAAGATGATATAATTTAGGCGACAGATGTAGAGAAGAGTCCGATCGTCACTATAAAGAGGCCAAGAACGAGTCCGACGTGCTTCCGCTCATCCTGAGCACACAGGCAGCCTTGTTCGATATCATAGACGTTTCCAAGAAACAAGCTTTTGTAACGCCCACCGCATTCAACGTCGAACTGCAGTTGGGCAAAGTAAACCATATCCTAAAGACTGGCTATGCTGGGGGTCCCTGGCCCAACAACCTCGAGCCGCTGCCGACGGTGCTCAAGGCCCTGGCAGCGCTATGCGAGAGGCAAGGAGACCTCATCAACAGCATCAAGATCCGGATCAAGGCCTTGGCCTTTACCAAGTGGCGAAAAGGCCTCCCCTGGTCCGAGGATCTCATCGACTTTGTGCTCAGTCTGTCGACTCTCACCATGTTCCCAAGTCATCCGTCGCTGCGGGACCCTTCCTTGCCGAAGCATAAGGAGTTTCAAGACATCTTCATCGGTCACCTCCACACGCTGCACGGGATACTGCTCAACTTTTACGGGCCCCAAGGACGGACGACGGGCATCGTCCACACCTTTTTACAGCAAGAAAAGGGCAGCTACAACGGACCCGTGCCTGGAACGAGGGCTTTTAGGCGCAGGTTCAAGGCGTCTCAGGAGAACGTCCTCAAGTGGGCGGGAGTCGACGAGGGGCTCTGGACTGTAGAATAGGGATGAGATGGTATATTGCTTTATATTCAATCTGGGCAAATATCAACAACCTATTGTGTTTTTTGGCCAAGTGGGATGATGTCGAGCTGACGCCCACACGGTGCGAGACCTAACAGCTGTTTATGCGGGGATATGGATGCTCTTCGCACTGTATATTATGCAGCTCGGAGAGCCGGAATAGACGTAGAATGCTTTAGCTAGTCCCTTGTGAGGAATTTGGAGGCTTTGATTGATAAACAAGCATTTTTGGACGAGTTTCGGATTTTGCCTCTTCCCTTGTGATCTGACAACTTGTGTTTCTGTGCGGCTATACAATAATCTTTCTGGTGAGTTGTTTTTCTCTCTTCTCTCTTTTCTTCTCCCTTACATCAAGACTTGTCCTGTTAGTTAACTCTGCTTCTCTAGCGTTTCATTGCTTCTTTCAACTTCAGTTGGTTCTATACTAAGCCACTTACCCCAACTTTCGTGTTGTAAGAGTCATACCACTCGATATTACAAATGCTTGGACCGCCGGTCAACCTGCCCAAGTGGTGAGTCGAAGCATCTCCAATTTGTCTCGTCGTGTATGTGTATAAGGAACAAAAGTGAGTGTGCTAACAACATTGGTTCTTTCGTCTTGCTCACCAGGCTCGAGGAAAACTCTCACTTGCTTCAGCCGCCCATCAACAACTACTGCGTCTACAACGATGATTTCACCGTCATGGTATGTTCCTTTTTCAGGATATATCACACACACACATATATAGCTTCATATCCAGCTCTCACTTTATATCTCCCAGCTCACTGACATCCCTCCAGATCGTCGGCGGCCCCAACGCCCGCACCGACTACCACATCAACCAAACCCCCGAATGGTTCTACCAATACCGCGGCGCCATGACCCTCAAAGTCGTCGACGGCACGACCTTCCGCGACATCATCATCCGCGAGGGCGACATGTTCCTCCTCCCCGCCAACACGCCGCACAACCCGGTCCGCTTCGCAAACACCGTCGGCGTCGTCCTCGAGCAGCGCCGCCCCGCCGATTCTATTGATCGCATGCGCTGGTACTGCGCGAAATGCTGCAGTGAGCCTGGTGCTGAGGCTGTGGTTGTGCATGAGGCTGCGTTTCATTGTACGGATTTGGGGACGCAGATTAAGCAGGCTGTGGAGGACTTTAGGGGGGATGAGGAGAAGAGGACGTGTCGGAGGTGCGGGACGGTGGCGGACTGGGCGCCGAAGCCGGGGTCGATTCAGGATCCTAATTTGCAGTGAGGATGAGGATGAGGATGTATGAAGATATGTGCTGTATAAGTAGATTCTCTTAGGAGACAGGCACAACATGATGAATGAAAATAAGTATCCAAGTTGAAGGAGGCAGTGCCCCTGTTTTGTCTCATCTTCTCTTTCTCATATATATATCTATCTATCCATCCATCCATACAACTCACGCTTCCATACCGTATCTATATACACTCTCACGTCTCTGAAAACTCATACGCAGACCCCGACAACTCCACAGGCACCTCAATCCTCCCCTCCTCAACCTCCCTCCCATCAACCCTCACGCCCGCCCTCATCACATCCCCCGGCACCACAGGCCCAACGCCCGCCGGCGTGCCCGTCAGCACAACATCCCCCGGCAACAACGTCATGACGCGCGAGATGTCGCTCACGATGCGCGGGATGCGATAAATCATCAGGCCCGTGGACCCGCGCTGCCGCGGCTGCCCGTTGACCTCGAGGTACAGCTCGGCGTCGTGCGGGTCGGCGATGGCGGACTTGGGGATCACGTTGCTCATGGGCAGGAAGGTGTCGAAGCCCTTGGCGATGTCCCAGGGGAGGCCTTTCTTCTTAGCTTCGTTTTGGACGTTGCGGGCTGTCATGTCGATGGCGATGGCGTATGCTTATATCAACTTTGTTAGCATCTGTATATATATCCATCATGTCATATCCTCCCAATTATGATATATAGCACGCGTAGGAAAATAAAAGGAAGCTTTATGCAGCAAAGCTCAAACTCACCCTTGATGGCATCCAGCGCTCCCTTCTCATCCTCCGGATGCAGATTCTTCACCACCGACCCAATGATGAGCGCCAACTCAACCTCAAAGTGCATGTCCACGCCCTTGGGCTGCAGACAAGGGCCCTCGCCGGGCAACACGATGGACGAAGGAGGCTTGAGGAAGAAGAAAGGCTTCTTTGGCTTTGCGTTTTGCAGTTCTGCAATGTGATCCCTGTCGAAGAAACATAACGTTAGCAACTATATTCTTCTCTCTCTTTCATGAGTACCAAAGTAGAAAAAGTTAAAGTAAATCGTCTTACGCGTAGTTGCGGCCAATGCAGACGACTTTGCCCGCCTGCTTCAGAGACAGAGAAGCTTGTGAGGCCGCAGTGGCCATTGATCTCCTTAGTCCAAACATTGTGATAAACAAATTTGTATTCTCCTTTTATGAATGTCCAAAAATCTCAATGTTGATCCCAGTACAGTGCGTGAGCTGCGTGTTGAAATAGCTACAGCTCTGCTTTAAGCCAGCAAATCAAGTTCAAGCTGCTGACATGAAGGCTCAATGCGGGTGAGAGAGTTGGTGCTCGGATTAGCCTCGGCACACGAGCTGCTCCGACTTACAGCATCAGGCCCCCTAGAAATCCGCTATCCTACAGGGCATCTTCGGTGCTATAAGCGGCCTCAGCGTTGCTCAAAGGTGTCGGTAAAACTCATAGCCTAACAGGCATCGTGTCCGACCTCGCAGTCTTCCATTTCGTTATTTCCTCGTTATATGTCACCACTATTTGCCTCACCCGTGATGACATCTACATGTGTATTATAAGCAGATTGAGTTCCACAGAGTCAAAACAAGACAAAGACCGAATGTACCTTTTTCATTTATACTCTACTAATGCACCAGACTCTCCTTGATGCTTGAGCTTGACGCTTCCCCTGCATCAAAATGTATGGACCATAAAAGCAATCCATCTAGCTGTCTTCCCCCCTTGAACCCCCAGCTTCATCCAACCGCAACCTATGCTATTCTGTAGATGCATGCTTTCCCTCTCCAGGTACTACAAATGCTGAGAAAAAAAGAGTAAAAAGAATAATCCGTCGTTCTCTGGACGCCTTGCCACGTTTGGAAGAATAAATACAACAAGACACAGCCCCATGCTCGTAACTCATCAAAAGCAACCCTTACCCAAATCCATATGTACTGAAAACGGCAATCCTCGATCACGCCACGTAGCGATACATCGAGGGTGCACCGTCTTCGTCTGGCCGCTCCAGGTATTCTCTCACAATGAGATCCTCAATCCGCCTCTTTATCAAAGAGACTTCGGGCTTGAAGCGGCCTACTAGCTGCGACAGAACCTCGCTTACAAGCTGAGAGTGATTGAGCTCCTTGCGCGCCCTGATAATGGCTGGTTAGTAACTGCCCCGGAAAATCACAGTAACAACTGGTTTTCAAACTTACTTCATGATTCTCACAATCGCCGCGTCGACAATGTGAGCTCGGGTTTGGTTGTTCTTCTCTTCCGTCGTCCTCCTTTCGTCCTTATCTTCGACCTTGGACACGGCGTTGATGATGGGTGCCTTGATTCTGATCGTCTTGCTCTGGAAAGAAGCATTGAAAGAAAACCTGTCGGTAGGCTTTATGTTCTTTGTCGGTGGGTCTTTGGCCAGAACTCGAGACTTGGGCGCCACGGCAATCGCCATGAGTGCCCGCGTCAGATCTGACGTTGACATGTTTGTCTTGGCCTGAATCTCTTCAAAGCTAAGGCTCTCGCCGTCCTTTTGATCGTTGAACAACAAGAGGACAACCATGCCATAGGTGGGAACGTTCATTTCATAACGACGTTCCCGCGCCAATGGGCCAGATTTCCCCTCGATAGCCGGAAATACGCACTTGATATCCGCGCTGCCGGTTGTACCAATCCATGTGAGCTTTCGACCGTTGCGATTTGTCAGGTAGAACTGCTCAAAGCTAGCTTGCAGTCGTTTCACTTCAGGTGGGTAGGTGCAGCCCATCCTTGGGGTCTCTCCAAGCTGAGTAGAGCGGCCCATGACCTCTTGGGGCCAGTAGTTGGTGGTGAGGACGTTGACATTGAGATCGATGGTGTGCCCTTCGGGATCCAGCTTGCGGATATGGTCGCGGTACGTCGATGTCAACTCTGACGAGGTGACGAGATCTCTAAACATGCCTTCAAATTTGCTTGTAAACTGCTGTCCCATTTCCTGCTTCATCCGTGATATGATTTGCTTTTCCACGTCGTGACTTTCTGATTTGCCATGGAGCAGTCGACGAGCCAGGTGGCGTTGATAGTAGGTCTGGAAGAGATCCTTGTCCAACAGGTAACGAATCAGGACGATTGCCTTTTCCAGGATGGCATCCACCTCGGCTTCCGTCTTGCCTCTTATGCCTCTCTTCAGGCTGTCGTCGATGAAGAGAGAGACGTATTCCGAGCTTCGATTAAACAAATTGATGAAATCGGCAAAGCTCTTGGTCAGGGCGGTTTGGAGAACCAGGTCTTCTTGAAAGCATGCTTCCAGCATGTAGTCAAACTTATCCTTCAGCCGAAGCACGTCATCGACCCATCTGATAGCTGCTGCCGTCTGTTGCGCGGCCGGATTGAGCGTTTTGGCCTTGTCGCCATCTCCGCCGTCCTCCCCTTCACCCTGCCCTGTCGAAAAATCAGTGTTTTTCAATACATTCTCAATCTCCAGTCCCAGTTCAACAACTCTCTTTTGTAGTATTTCACGAAGAGCGGTCTTCTTATCATCCACCCTCGAGATGAGTCTGTACAAAATGCTGAGGTCGTCTATCTTGTCGTTGTCAATCATCCACCTTACGCCACTGCCCTCCATGGCAAGGAAGTCATCCAGGTGACCAAGAATAAGCTTCTTGTCCAGCACATCCGACACCTTGGGAAGGGTTTCGCGTTCTATAGTGGTGCCGCAGCGGTCTTCTTCCTCCAAAAGCCTGGTCTCAGTGTGCCGAAGCCAAGTGCTGGCATCAGACTCCCGTAGAAGCCGGTCACACTCTCTCGAGTAGAAAGTTTCGCTGTTGCTGAGGAATCGAGGTTCAAAGATGGTAAGATAGAGCTTGCTACTCTCTGACTCGTCCTCGGTTTCGTACAGACAGCTCAGCATCCGGCTGCAGCTACGGATGAGATTTCGGTCAATGACATCTCCACGTCTCTCCATGTCAATCTGATCTAGCATGACGGAAATAAGAATGTCCACAATCAAGCTGTCGGAATTCGCGTTAAGGCATGAGCGTAATATATGGTCTCGGAATAGGGCAATGGTGGTGGCAAAGATGGGGACTCGGCGTGGCTCCTGTTGCGTGTAGCCCCGATCTAGGTACATGAGGATATCGGCCGTCATATTCATGGACATGTTGTGATCTTCCCAAGTATCTCGAAGGCCCTTGAGGAACTTTTCGCCCGTTTGTCGCCGCTCGTTGACAGAAGCCGCTGACGAATTGTCGATGCCAATGTTGATAAGACTCTTAGTGACCAAGACTTCAATCTTGGGAATGACGTGCATGGCAAACCATTGCTCCTCAAATTCCTTGACCTTGTCGTACAGAACCTCACCCTTCTTCTTAAGCACGATCTTGTACGCCGCTCGGTATAGCTCTTCGAAGGAGAGACGGCCGCAGCTCTTGTTGTGGATATCGCGCAACGCTTCTTGAATCATGTTCCAGCATGCATCGAAGTCGGCTCCCTCGCCGCCAGGGCCATTGGGCTGTGAAGAATGATTAGCTGCTAATGCGCAAGCCCTGGACTTAGAGTGAAGGGGCTCTGGAGATTGCGCCTGCGCATGGGAAGGCAACTGCTTGCTCTCGCTGGAACCCATCGTGGCACGTCTGGTGAAGCGGAAGAAGTTGATCGAGACGGCAACGCATGGAGAGCAGCGGCGTTGATAGGCCTCAGCCTCGCATAGCAGGATGCGCCCAAGATGCGCTGAGCAGTGAGGAGGGGATGCGCCGTGAATTGGGGGTCCAGGTCCAGCCTGCAACTTACACGCACAATCCGACGAGGTGGGCGGATGCGCCCTCGAGCCCCCGCTCCCCCTCGCCCTGAAATCATTGCTGCTTCAGCTCTCCGTGAGGACCCAAGAGGCAGTATCGAGTAGGTGAAATGTCAGGAAGACAGCTGTCGTGGAAGCCCAGTCGCGGCACAAGAGGCCCCAAAAACGCTGGTCGCACAGATAGTGGGGGTTTGCAGAGCTAAGAGGTATAGAATGGTAGGCAGCTGGCTGGTCAGGGCTTCAGCTGGTGAGTTCGGCAGAGGGCCAAAGATGGCGTGAATATTCAATATTCAGCGGAAGAATAGACGAGATAGTGATGGTGGGAGTATCTGCATTCTCCCTATCGAGGTGGACAAGAAACGAACGCTTGCTGGACAAGGTGAAGGAGCTTGAAGCTACCTGTGACAAAGCATCAAACGGGTGAATCGAATAGTAACTCCGGCCCGAAGAGAATTGCCGGGGTTTCCTCTTGAACGAAGCATCGTCTGCTATCGATAAACAGTTTTCTAGTACGAGTAGCAATTGGGTGGAGACACTCGTAGTAAGCAGAAGCTTTAAAGTTCGAGGTACGAAGTACAAGGCAGCTGCCATTCGATGTGGCGGGGAGAAAAGTACGGAGTACATCGTTAAGGTAATGCCTTCACGTGAGTGAGGTCGATTTCCATCAATGAACCTGGAAACCCGGTACCTGTACGATGGTACCTCTCGCCAGCTACAGAGTCACGTGCCCGCCTTGGCTCCCCAAACCCAGCTAACTCCCATTAGTAACGACTGCCCAGCTAATGAATGGGCAACTATTTTTCCGACCGACAATTGAAGGCATCCGCCAGCCTTGCAATATAAACCGTGAGACGAGGCAACGCGCGCGACGAGGCATATCGGAATCCCTGAATCCATCCCACAACAGGCCACAAAGGCCTCTGCCGTCGCCATGAAGCTCGTCAGGTGAGCGAGATCCCCCAAGCTGCAGAATTCCGCTTGAATTGTCCCGTCGAGCGAGCAGCGTCTCTATCCCTGCCCATGCACGTTCTGAGCTTTTGAGCTTCACGACACTGACAATTGCGCCATGGCAGGTTTTTGATGAAGTGCGCCAACGAAACGGTGACCATTGAATTGAAAAATGGTACGCTACAATCCTACCATGCGAGCTCCAGTTGCTTCTCAGCAACGCGCAGCTTCGATCAACGAGCATGACTTGACATGACAGTCTCACTAACCAACCCCGCGTCAGGCACCATCGTCCACGGCACCATCTCCTCAGTCACTCCCCAGATGAACGTCGCCCTCCGCACGGTCAAGATGACGGCCCGCGGCCAGGACTCCATCGCCCTCGACACCATGAACATCCGAGGCTCAACAATCCGATACTTCATCCTCCCCGACTCCCTGCCTCTCGACACCCTGCTAATCGACGACGCACCCAAGCCCAAGAACAAAGCCAGAAAGGAGGCTGATAGAGGAGGTCGCGGAGGCCGTGGTGGTCGTGGTGGCCGAGGTCGCGGTCGTGGCCGCGGACGTGGACGTGGCTAAAGCAACAATTGGGACGATAATAATACGACAAAGGATAGAGAAACCGAGGCACTATATCTTTTTTATTTTCAAAGCTGGTCCGGGCCGAGGGCCGATATCACTGGGAGAAGGGTCTTTGTAAAACGATACAGAACAAAGGGAACCATTTTTCGACTTTCAGGGACTGTGGAGGCGTCGCAAGCTGCGATGGAAACGGCGTTTGGGATGCGTTTTGCCCACATAAAAAAACTAAAGAAACAAACGACACTTGTTCCGGGGGGAAGATGGAAGAGGTGGGGTTCAGCGCTTTGATATTCGGCCAAAAAAATCTATTTCGAGATGACAAGATATTCGAATATATAAATTGCCAGTCCTTTTCTATGTACGCTGCTGAGTTCGTCTGATATGAAGAGGCTAATTTGTAGCATGAAGGCTGTTATTCTTGGAGGAATAATGTCCAAGTCCTTTCACAGCATCAAACAACATGCTCTCTCCCAGCTGTAGATTTTGATATCTGATGACATCCAGCTGATATAGTGACGGGGCGGTAGAAGGGATGTCGTATAACTCACTCCTCCTCAGTATCTAAACAGCAATCGTCCAGTTTAGGCATTGGAGGTCATTATCCAAGTGTCTCTCACTCATAAACCCCTAAATCTCAAAGCATCCATCCGTAAACCCTCACGGCGCCGAATCTCGCCATATCCGCACAATCTGCAACTTCTCCCACCCAGCCGTCTTCCCACTCGACCCAACCGTCTCCGCCCTCCACCCGTCCCCCCAAGCCCATATCCTCTCCTTGACAATCTCCGGCTTATTCTGCGCGCAAAGAAGCACATACGCACAACCCCTCTCGGACAAAATCTCAGGCAACCCGTCAATCAGCCTATCCGTCGTCTCCATGCCGTCCGCCCCGCCAGCATACGACAGCGCCAGCAAATACGAATCATCGTCAAACGTCGTCCGCGGCGAGAAGTCTTCTGTGAAGGTCTGCGGGCGCTCGGGCATTTCCGACGTCGGCACGTACGGCGGGTTGAAGACGAGCACGTCGACGGAGCGGTTCCTCAGGGGAGCGGCGAGGTCGCCCATGACGGAGCCTAAGTACATTCCATGAGTGACTTCTTTGGTGCTGCTCTCGGCGAGTGAATCGGCTTGGGCTTTTGCTACGGTGGTGATTGTTGCGCGGCAGGCGAAGGCGTTCATGTCGATGCCGGCAGTGAGGATGTGGGAGGTGCCGAAGAGGGTTTTTGCGTGGGCGGTGATGAAGGCGAGGACGACGCCGGATCCGGTGCCGAGCTCGACGACAAAGGGGAGAGAAGAAGATGATGAGAATGTGTCATGGAGGAACTGCGTCTCGGAGGATGAGGAGAGGGTGTCAAGGAGGAGGAATGAGTCTTCGGCGGGCTCGTAGACACGCTCGTAGGGGACGTGAGAGGTATCTGGTGTGGGAAGCATGATGTTATGTTTGATGAGAGGAGATGAATTGGTGAGTTTGTTTGGTATATGAGATTGGGGATGGTGAGAGCTTCATGAAGACTTTTTTTAGGTAGGTTGAAGAAAGTTGAGTGATAGAATAGCGGATGGTGGGGCCACGTGATGTCATGAGAGATGAAGTGAATATATATGATCATTATTATTTTTAACAAATTCGTCGTTTATATATATGATTTAAAAGACCGAATTGGTAACAAGATGTGGTGTTCTTTGGAATCAAATATTCGCAGTTGCTCTTCTCAAGACATAGCTCAACCCTCCTAAGCCCCCCAAAAATGCCCCTCCAAAAACACCATAAACCCAACTCTCACCACCCAACTCCAGCCTCTCTTCTCACAACCCCCTAACCTTTCCAAAAATAACATTCACAAAATCACACACCTCCTCGTCTCCCCCATCCTCACCTCAACCGCCCAATCCCCCCCATCAGGATCCATCCCCCAATGCATCCCCCATCCCATCCCCTCCACCATCCGCACGCACCGCCGATCATACAGCCCGCCCAAATCGCACCGCGGACACGGCCTGCTCTTCGTCTTGTAGAATCCCGGCGTCTTTTTGATGCCGCCGGCGCCGCAGAAGGTTGGGCACGTGTGGAAATCCATGTAGGGGCCGCAGGGGTGGGAGATGATGGCCCAGACGTGTTTGCATGATTTGTGTTGGAAGAAGGTGACGTTGCACATGATGCTTCTTTCTGGTCTTTTTGCTTTAATGGTTTCTTTTTTTTTCTTATGGATGGGAAGATATGTTGTGTGGGTGTTACTTTGTATGCGGGCTTGAGCTGGTTTTTATTAGATTTTGCGTCTCGGGAGTTGGGCTTGGACATTTGGATTCAGCGTTCAACTAAAGATTGGTTTGACGAGATAGCAACACAGTAGATCCACACAATAGAATAGTAATGATAATAAGAGAACAAACATTATTCTGTAGCAGCTTGGAAGCTGAAATCTCAAGACAAATGACGGACCGTGGACAGCCGGCAGTGAATCCAGCCAGTCCCAGACAAGCCAAAATACAGTGACACACTCCAAGTCAATCACAGTGAGAAGCATCCATAAAAGTAATCGTACAATTGGAAGCAATGCATATTTGAAAGATTCAATTTGAGTATATGCATACCTACATGCCTCTTACCAACGCTCCCATATTCAATGCAACAAATGTCAAACCAACGCCAAATGCTCATGCCAAATGTCGAAAAATCCATACATAGCCCGCTATTCTAAAATCATTCTCGCAACTTCTCAACCTTCAAAAGTTCGTCTCGCGTCCTTTAAAAGACGATTCTAGAGTAGTGCCGTCGCCTATGGGTAGTGTGTCACTCTCCCCGATTTCGCTGTCCTCCTGCGGCAGAAGCCTCGAGAGCATATCCTCCATCCGTTGCATGGCCTTCTCCATGGCAGCCAGTCTACCCGCCATATCTGCATAATCTTCACCCGTTTCCGTGAGCGACCCCCGCAGCTTGGGCGGGATCTCAAACATGGAGTCTCGGCGCGAGGGCTTCCTCACCGAGTCATGCGTCTCCTGCCGCGTGTATTGCCTCCGAATGAGGTGGTGCGTCAGGTCGTCGTCCACGGCAATGTCATCATATACATCCTCCGGGGGTGGCACATCAAACACGGCGCGGATATACTGATATGCTGAGAGCTGCCACCTTTGCCAGAACCATTTATGGGCCAGCGAGCTGACAGTTCCTCCTTCGGAAGTCTTGTCCGGCCACAGCAGGCGGCGTTCAGCGACGGCGATGAAGAGTAACAGTGGAAGGTTGACCAAGCGAACAGTGGCGACGTGGATTTTATGGAACCATCGCGGGCTGACGACGAATTTGAGCGGCAAAAGAAGGAAGACGGCTAGGAGATTGAAAGGAGGCTGGTAAGCGAAAACAGCGTCCGCCTTGACGCCTTCAAGCGTGAGGACAGCCTTTCGATAATGTATCTCGGCTGTGGCATTGGTGGATATGTTGCTAAACGTATTCGACAGCATGGAGACGAGGATAGTAAGGAAGAGAGTGTTGCCAAGGAAAGCAAATGTGATCATGACGACGGGTCCCAGTAGCCAGTGGAATTCGACCTATAGAGCCAGAACATGTCAGCGCAAGACTTCCTCCCATCTCATCTCCCTTTATCGCAGAGCTTACCGATCGGTGAATTCCAGTGCCATCGAGTCCAAACCAGATGTAAATCATCCATTTCGAAATCGTACTAAGCGAACAAACAATCCGTCAGCACATGATAACATCGGGAAAAGAAGTAAGAAACAAACATACAGCAACGGATGGGCTCCCTCTCCCAGCCACAGTAGAGATAGCAAGAATCCAAAAAAGCACCACGCCGAAAGCGCAGTGAGCAGGAAAAAGTCGGCCATCATGGATCTCAGCGATAAGAAGACCAAGTTGTCAGACAGCCAGTTAAAGGCCAGGCGAGGTACCAGTACAGGTGCTGCGAGCGCCAAGACATCAAATGCCTGTTCCGAGGGCCCTAGCAACCCGGTCCATACCCCCCAGAGGCGCAGACCGCTGTAGATGACGAAAAGGAAGATGAAGGTGACGTCGAGGAAAGACCATAGATTCTGCGTGTACACGTTCCTGTGATGCAAACGTCAGCTCTCCTCTAAATAACATCCATAATATTCTCCTGGACGGAAATAAAAACAAGGGGAAGAGGTCTCACCATCCGTGTGCCAGAATCGTCGCAAACTGATCCAAACACCATCCAAACGCAAATATTGCAAACGCCGCCTCCAGATACGGAATCTCACCATTCCTCCGCAAAATCATGACAGCCACATACAGCCCCAACAAAATGGTAAACTGTATCGCCTCAAGGTAATTGCGCGTCCGCGGCACAATCAGCCGATACTGGTTCAGCAGCGGCGACTCGCGTGGTTCGTAGATGGAAATGGGCTTCAGCTTGTAGTGGTCCGGGATAATGTCCCACGACGTCGACGGCGTGTAAATGACGCGGCCCTCGTAAATGGCCGACACGACCCTCTGCGCCGTCGTCGAGCTGAGAAAGTGCCTGCTCTCGGTCAAGATGGCGACCTCGAGCGCGGGCAGCGTGCGGTGCGTCGTCCACCAGGCCTTGCCCTCGGCCTCTTCGCGGACGTGCGCCGGCGCATGCTGGAAGGGCTCGAAGCCGGCGACGAGGATGTGCGCTAGTAGCAGCAGGCCTTCATGGTCGCCATCGTGGTCCTCGCCGAAGCGGCGCAGGATGCGTGTGGCGATGAGCTCGCACAGAGTGGCGCGAGTCCAGTTGACGTTTTGGCGGTTGGTGGACCGCGATTCTTCGTCTAGGAACTGGGCTCTGTTGACCAGCAAGCAGTATACTGCAGGTGAAGTTAGCATTCTGATTCCTTCTTTTATTTCATTCTTATTCTTTTCTTTCATCAAATCAACCCATCAAGAAATCAATTGATACCCAGACACTCGAAATCGCCAACCCTGATCCTGATAAGAAGAAAGCAAAGAAATGGAAAACGCAGCATACCAATGGAAACATCCCCCAGCTCATAAAACTTGTCGACCAGCGGCCTTATAACGGTAACATTGATCTTAACATCCCGCAGCTGCTCCAGCGTCAAGTAATCCTCCACGACGCTGACAATGTCGCGCCTGATGCGGTGAATGTTTGTGTACACGGGCAGGTCGCTGTGCGGGTTCGTGCGGCAGCTGAAGACGTGCTCGCCATTTTCGTGCTCCGTGGACAGCCTGCTGAGCAGCGGCCGGCGCTCGTCGGGCGGAACGGAAAGTTGGAGCCTCCTGCGTCGTTCTGCCATGAGAGAATGGCGGAGGTTTGGGAGTTGGAGGTTGGAGGTTTTGAAGGGCCAGGTGCTAGATAGCTGGGAGTAAATGTGCTGTGGTGATGATGACGATGGTGGCTGATCACTGATACCGGCCCTGTATTTATAAGGGAGCGACAAGTGTCTGCAGCTCTCTCAGTCAGGCCTGAATGAAACAACACTACAAGATGAAAAGAGTAAAAGAAATGAAATAAGATAAATAAGTCTACTCTAATCTGCAAACAGTTGCCAAAAACTCCAATGAAGTAGAAAGTCAAGAGAGCTAACATGGAAAAGAAACAAAAAAATACCCAATTCCCCAAAATCCGCCCCTTGGCGTCATGGCATTTCCCGCTGGGCACCGAGTTTGGTGGGCTTGGACACGCGCCTGATTGGACGCGCCCCCACGACTGTCCAAACGCCGTCTCGATTCGACGAACCGATTGTCTTGGATCGATCAGGTGCCGATGGGATTCAATCTTACTGCAACGCTGGGGGCCCTGCTTATATTACTTGTAGCACATTTGCCGCCAGAAACACCCCTGTTGAATGGATTTGATATGGATTTTTCTTTTCATTTGTTTTATTTCCGAGCTTCACACTAAGTCATTCGCTGCTATATTTATATCGAATCCATCCATGGTACAACTGCTAGTGCTGCACCAGAGACATAACACATGCTTCATCTTGATGCCCATCCAAGGTCATGACACCCTCTCCTACATCTATCCCAAACTCGCCCAACTATTCAAATCATGCATCAAAACAAAATTATTCTAGTTGAACAAACTAAACACAGCTAGGCTCCCATTCCTAACGATGACTATACCAGTTACATCGCTCACCTACCTCAACCATATCCAAACCTCCTCACAACTTCGATTCCCTCGCCTTCGCATCCCTCGCCTGCTGCGCCAACTCCCACGCAAACTCCGCCAACGGGCCCCTCGTCCCGATATACATCTTCGCCTTCGCACTACTAGCCTGCCTCGCCGCGTACCGCGCCGCGATGCCCTGGCACACGCCCGCCAGCTTGAAAATATTAAACGCCGCGCCCCAGCTGAGCTCTCCGGCCCCGCGCGGATCATAGCCCGACACCTCGGTGTACCACTGCAGGATCTCGTCCGGCTGCGGCAGACCGGGCGTGGCTCCAGGGAGAAACTTTTCGCTGTCGCTGTAGGCCGAGGCGCCGGGAGAGCGGGCGAGGTAGAATTGAGTGATGAAGTTGCAGACGTCCGAGAGGGGGTGGCCTATCGTAGACATTTCCCAGCTGTTGATATCACCCCATTATGTCAGCCCTTGTAAACAAAAAACAAAGATATTGTAACTCACTCTAGGATGCCAATCACCCGATTCTCCGTCTTGTGAAAGACCAAATTGTCAATCTTAAAGTCCCCATGCACCAGCGTCGCCCGATCCTTGGGCTGCAGCCTCTCATCCTTGAAGAAGCCCACCAGCTCGTCAAAGTGCGGCAGCTGTCCCACGGGCTCCTTGGTCTCGACATCCACCGCTTTACTCTGGCTGATGCAAATCGTCGCCCACGTCTGCGTCTGCCTACTATAAAACCCGCTCGCCTTACCAAACTTGTCCAGCCCGACTTGAGCCACGTCCACGGCGTGCAGCCGCGCCAGCGTCTGGATCGCCTCCTTCCACAGCGCCGTCCGGTCCGCGGGGGTGACTCCCGGCATCAGAAAGTCCTCAAAGATGCGCCCGTCGAGGAACTCCATGATGTAAAACGGCGTGCCGATGACCGAGTCGTCCTCGCATAGGCAAAACGTCTTGGGGACCGCCACGTCGGTCGTCTCGAGCGCGTGCAGCGCCCGGTATTCGCGCTCCACCTTGTGCGCCGTCTTGGACAGCAGCTTCCCCGGCGGCTTCTTGCGTAGCACATATTTCTTGCCCGTTGCGTCGGTGATCTGGTATGTTGGGTTGGATTGTCCGAAGCCAAACTATGGGCGAGAGAGGCGGCTGGTTAGCTACATTGTGCTTCTCGAATTCTGCTGGGCTCGCGAGTGGGAATGAATGCCAACGAACCTGCTTCAGATCAATCGGCATCTTGATTACCGGCACATTCTCCTCAAGGTACTTTGCAAACGCCTTTTCGTCAATGGGTTGCCGCACTGCGCCCGCCATCATCGATGGTCTATCACTCTAACGTCTAATCACGTGTGCTCTCCAGGTCACGTCCAGTGACCAGATTGTCGTAAAAACAGAAGACGCAGCTCCAGAAACGCGGGATATTGCGGCAGTCGGTCTAAATGGATTGGTATTCCCAGCTCCAGATCAAAAGACATACCAGGACGAGGAGGGGAGAAGAGGGCAGCTTTTCATCTTGTCCTCGGATCGCAGAAGATGAGGTAAAGACGGGCCAGCGTCAGACATACCGAGGCTCGGCGGTTGGCAGCTACCCAGTACCGACCCCAGATTTTCAGCCACCCCCGATAAGTCTCCTCCCCCCCCCCTCTTCTTTTTTTTCCCTTGCCCGGATCTCTGCCAGGGCATTGGTTTTATTCCTCCCCATTGGACAGCATGTAAGTTGAAGATGACTACTAACTTGATGAGTGATGCTCGCCCAATCAGGTAAAAAAAAAAACAAAAAATAAAAGCAATTGCCTATTAGATGCCACGATGACAGCTCCAAACTGTTGCTCCCTCTTGTACCTGCATGTCGGACAAAGACACGGAGTGCAAGCAGATACCAACGCATCTCGACAAGTTGAGCAATTAAAGCACGCCAATTCCTCAACTCTGATCAATCCGACTTGAGCTATTCATACCAACTCAACTTGTACATAATAGTCTACGCTTTAATACTCACATAACACGTATTCATCACGATTCTTGTACTTGGATAATATCGCTGCATATCAAATGATATCTTCAATTTGAAAGCTAGGAAAGCCCAGAGCATATCCGGTGACGGACGACACCTTCACCTCTATATCCACACAAACTACATAATCTTTCTTTCCCCCCTTCTCCAAGTGTCCAGACACTTACTTCTCCGTTATTGTTCAAACAATGCTGATGTCTATCTGTGTCCTGCACACAGCCTAGTCCTGTTTTTTAATTGGTTCTTTGTTTCCCAGTCCCATTCTCTTTTTTTATGCTTTGTCGGTTGTTTTATACCAGCTGATGCAAAAAAAGAAAAGAAAAATTGAAAAAAAAAAGGGGAAAGAATAAAGGGTGAATCGAGAAAAAAAGAAGAAGAAGAAGAAGAAAAGCAAAAAGTCAAAGAAGAAGATAAATGCCATATTGCCTTGATGCATCTCCATGGTAGCCAGACCAAATTCCTCCAAAGGTTCAACTCTTTCGAACGTTCCGTGAGTAGAGAAAGTCAATAAACATAAGAAAAAAAAAGTGTGTGGCAAGAAGAAAACAATAAGGGGTATCCATCGTGTCGAGTCATCCATGCATTCTGCCCGCCCAACCAGTTCCCCCCCTTCCAGCCGTCCGAAGTCTCATATCCGACCATGACGAGCCTCAGCTCATCGCCAGACCAAGACAGATCCATCTTCAACATTATCAGTCTTCAAGTTGACGAATAATGGAGCGGAATAGTCTACTTAGACAGCGGGATATGCTGAGCCTCTCGAATCGGAGAATGTTCTGAGATCACACACCATTTGTCGGCCGTTATAATAAAAGAAAACATCAAAGAAAACTCCCCGTCCCATTCGATGCCTCAACTGAGAATGATAGCAAAGACGTATCTGTCCTCAAAATCCCTGTCATCGTGTCCTCATTATAGTAAAGAGAGTAAGAAAACGAGAATGCCCATTTGCACCTTCCGAGGTGCTTTGAGCATACTCGAAAAAAAAAGAGTGGAAGAGAAGCAGAAAAGACGAAATCAGTTATTAGCTGTCGTCTTCCGGGTTCCCTTCGGCGCTCTCGGCTTGCGTTTTGGGCTTCTTACTCGAAGTTGAGGGTCCAGATTCCGACTTGCGCTTGCCGCTTGAGGTTTCAGAGGACTTTGAGGGTGAGACATCTTCAGGGCCCTTGCCGCTGGGATCTAGCTCTCCCTTGGATTCCATAGCCGCCACCTCCTCGGCTGTCAAGAAGCGACCGCCGGGTCCACGGGGTCGGCGCATCGCATGGTTATGTCTAGACTCGTGGAGATATGGCTTTCGTCCTTTGGACGTCAGCCTCAATTGCTCTTCGAGGCGCTGGCGAGCGACGCGTCGCTTGAGGATTCGGTGGAATTGCTTCGCATTGACGTATAGGGGCGATTCTTCGACAGCCCCCGCAGGCATCTCGGGAGATTGTGGGTGCTGCATGGCAGGGGCCGGAGGCATGGGCGGGGGCCGGGGTCCGCCGTGGTTCATCATGCCCGGGGCGCTCGGTACACCGGGGCTGGTGACTTGGCTCATGCGGCGGCCGGGGATTTGGGAAATGCTGTTCATACGAGGAGACGGCCGGCCATCTTTCTTAGCATTGGGCATTCGCGGGGACGTATGAGGCATGCTCGGATCTGGGTGCATGTAAGGGTAGCTGGACCCTGAAGCGGCGGCCGTGGCGGCCATTGCGGCGGCCTGAATTCCAGGCATGCCGTAGGGAACCGGCTGCATGCTGGGTTGAGGCACGCCATACTGTGGTTGATACATGCCGTGAGCTGGGGCCTGACCGGGCTGGTGTTGTTGTTGCTGCTGCTGTTGCGATGCGATGGGGGATGATTGCACTGCGTGCTGGGTGATGCCGTGGCTGGTGGGCGAGGTGATACTTGCGCCGACGGCAGAGTTCGCGTAACCTGGGTGAGAATTGTGTTGCTGTTGTGGATATTGCGCGTATTCCATCATCCTCCAAGAAGGACAAGGACCAAAGCTGGTGTCGCGAAGATGTCGCGAGCCAAATTGTGGGGTGGCGCTATCGCGGTTCGCCCTATCACAAGTCCGAAACTTGAAGCTAGGAGATCCGGGACGAATAATATCAACAGCGCAACGCTAGACGACTGCTTACAACGAGGACCGCGAAAAGCCCAATGACGAACAACCGAAGATGAAGAAACTAAAAAATATAAAAAAATCGTGCTAGGACAGTAGTTCGTTGTGTTTTTTGCCTTTCGTTTTTTTCCTCTTAATTCTGTTTTGGAAACAGGTTTAAAATGCGCGCCGGTCGCTTGGGTATAGGTTGGGCACGTCCGGCTGGGAAGCTGGCGATTCGATGCTTGGGTAATCGCAAGAGAAGCGTGCAATGTTCAGGCACCCAAGTCTACCAGACATGCGTTGGTGAGCTGGCAGGTTGGTGGGATGGTGCCAAGTACGTGGCTCATAAAGCCGCAAGGCGTCTGCAGGCAAAGATGTAGCCGCGGGGCAGAGTGGAGGGTGGCTGAGTTGCCGGGCGAGAACAGAGCCACGTGAAGAAGAGAGAGGTCTTGTCGTTGTTGCCTCCCAAGTCGTTGCGACAAGGTACTGTACGGTACGGGATGGAGAGCGAGTCGCCTTTTCCACTTCCCCAGAACTTCTCAATCGAGGATTAACAAAGATCTATCCAACCACAGGCGTTAGCTCAGTTGTATATAGGCGAGACGCTGCGAATGGTGAGACGGCCAGAGGTATCCAGGCAAGGATGGGACAGGGGTGCGAGCCACCAGCACCAGGGAGCCACACTTGTGATGCGTTGGCATAGTTGTAGCTCATGCATGACGGAATATGCAGCCAGATCCACCCAGGCCAACGGAGCCCACAACAAAGCCCCCAACTTGTTGCCGACACGTCGGCACACAAGTTTGGCAGAAGCAAATGAGAGCCCAAGCCGGCGCCGTCGAGGGGAAGCCAACGAGGCCGCGCCGATCCAGATAAGCGCCATGAGATTCGCATCTCCTAATGCGATGCAGTGTGCAAGCTCGAGGACGGCATGAGAAGGGCTTTCAAGGCCTCAAGAGCCAAGGGATTTAGATTGTCTCATTGTCTCATCCGACTGGCAAAGCGGAGAGTTGGGCATGGAAACTAAGACACGCCATGAGGTGGGGGATCAGGCTGGTGGTGGGTGTTGGCCGTGTCCGGTCAGAGGAAACGACCTTTTGGCCGAGGTTGGCAATCATGTGTGGGAGGGAGGGACGGGATGATAGAGGCGAGTGAGGCAATCGGGCAGGTAAAATTCGAGCTTCTGGCGCACCAAAATGGACATGTTGCGGAGCTCGATTCAAACAGGTGACGACAGGGCAGATTTTGGGGGCAGAGAGAAGAAGAGAGGCAAGGAAAGGGTTGGCCGAACGTACTCAGCCCAGCAAGGGTGAAAGTGATGTAACAGCTGTCAGGGTGAAAACAAAAAAGAGGCTGTGAGAATCTGGGCTGTGAGACTCAGTAGACTGGGCTGGGCTGAGCTGGGCTGAGCAAGTAGGAAGAGTCGGTGTAAATAGGTGAGCGAGCGGCAATGCCTTGTATGTGCCTTGACTGGATGACGTGCAAATACACGAACAAACAAAAATACGAACAATACTGGGAATAAAAGAGGGTAGATGCTCATGAAAGCAATGCAACAAAGACGGGGGGGCTATACAAAAGACAGGGCAAGGCAAGGCAAAAGCAAAAGTAAAGTAACAAGCAAAGCAACGGCAACCCCAACAGGGAGTCGTATGGCCGAAAAGAGAAGACAAGGGCTTTGGAGAGATGAATCGAGTAGGTAAAAGAAGAGCCGGGGTGCTGGGGATTGGCAATAACGGCATCAAGGGAATAAAAAAGAAACGAAAGAAACGAAAGAAATACTACGTACCTCTTATACGCAGCCACAAGTAGAGCGCGTACAGACAAGGTATGAGGTACCTGGCGGTGATTTGCGTTGGGCCTATTCCCAGCTTTTGGGAATGGACAGAGGCGTGCAGAGCTCTGATTGAAGGCTCGGATAATTGAGAAATGGGCACTGCAGATGCGCGCTGTCACCTGATGGCGTGTTGCGCCAATGGAGAGAGCGAGGTTGAGGCTGGCGACGATGATAGGCCTTTGGGGTTTGGAGCTTGCGATATCGATGATGAAGAGCTACGCCAGTGCAGGAAGCTGATTTGCTGGCGGGCAGGCTGAATTTTTAGGTGAGCCCTGGGTGCCTGTGCACGCCTTGTTTCGGGCTGATTCTGGCAAAGCAGCAGCTTGTCGAGTCAATGGAATGGCTGACGTCGCAGCGAACCGCAAAGAGAGTGGGGGAGAGGCGGAAGCTATTGATGGCTTTTGATGCGATGCTCTTCTGCTTCGGGCGTTGTGGCACTGCGCCGAGATTGAGGGGCTCCGAAAATCCGAGGGCAGCGGAGTCGAGAGTAAAAAAAGAACAAGAGCAAAAAATAGAACTATTCAGCGCAATGCAATGCAATACGAGAAGAAATGCAGGGCTTGGGTTGGTGAAAAAACAAAATAGGCCGTGTAAGGCAATGTGCTCTGGCCGGGCAAAAATAGCTGAACTGACAGAACAGCTACTCGTACAGCTTCGGACAGCTACGGCGCTTTCAGGGCGCTGACGTCGCAGTCGCAGCAACAAGCGTGCAAGGGCAGGGCACAGCACAGGCTGAAAGCTGTGTGCGCTTCTCGTCAGAACTGAACTGAAAGAAAGCCCGGGAACGGCGTGGCTCAAGGTTTGCGCTCACTGGCGCGCGGCTTGGACAAGCGGATCGGGACGAGATAGTCGAGTCGCTGTGAATGGCCAGCGAGGCAGAGGCAAGTGTTTCGTTTGTTCCCTTGCGGACGAATCTGATTGCACGCGTGAGCGCGGGAAGGGCCCTTTTTTTGCCCTTTGGTCGGGCTTGCTTTTGCGCTGCTCGTTCGTTGGACAGGGCAGGGCGGCAGGGCGCGCGAAGGCGGATTGATTGGTTGAGGGAAGATGGCAAGGCTCGCGAAAGAGGACGAGGGAAAATGCGAAGATATGATTTGAGGGGCGGGGGGCCAGGTAGTCTTTTAACACTTGTGACTGGCTGATTCAGCCCTAGGGTGGGGCCACGCCGGTGGCTGGCTTTTGGCGCCTGCGCTGTGATTGGCCCGCGCGCCATGAGACGACGCACGGGCCACTGTGGCGCTCTTTTTTTTTCATCAGTTTTTCCCTCTGGCCTGTTGTTTGATGCCTGCTAGCGCCGCGAGATGCTTTTTTTCCTGGTTGCTGTCCGCTTCGGCACGGAGCCGCTCGTACTGGGAACCTGAGCCCGACCGTCATGACCTTGCCACTGCCGAACCATGCTGGGGGTCTGATTGTATCATTGATCGTGCCGTTGGTAGAGTGTACGAGTACTCGTGCTGCGATACGTGCCGAAACCTTGTACCCGAGGACATTGCACATTGCACCGTCAAAGCGTGCTCTGTGCCGTCCGTTAGCAGATACGAAGCTGTACCAGTACTTGCGGCCCATGTCCATGCCTGGTTGAGAAGATGCACGTGTTTCTACTGGATGCTCCCTACAGTACTCGTACAGGGCACTGGTAGCACTGCGAATCTTTAGCAGGTCTCATGCTGTTGCAGCGGTCATCTGCAGCCAGGCGTCATGTTGCCTCCCCTGCCCATGCAAGTCGAAAGCATTGATAAAGTCTATTAAAGGAAATGGAATCCTTGTGTGCGTCTTGCCCAAGGTACCCTGTCTCGGGAGCCTTAGTGGTCCAAAGTCGTCTGCTGTTGGTACCCAATAGCAGAGTGTGTTTGGCAGCATTTCCCAAGTCTACACCAGGAGATATACATACTCGTACGGAGCAATGACAGGACTCGCACATGCACGGACAAGCCTCCCACAGCCTGTCTCGACTCCTGTGTTTCGAGTATTCGTATCTCGTCTTTACCAAAGAAGTACCCTACTGCTTGTAGGCAGCCTATTTTCGTAATCTTTCCGTCGTTCCGCTCTGCCGCTGTATTGCCACCCATCTTACAGGACGTACTCGCGCCTCACGACACGTCTGATAACACAACGTCAAGATGAGACGCGGCGTCTTGGAAACAACACCAAAGGTCCCATCTCCACGCGAGTTGCTAGCATCCTACGGATATACGAACACTCTTAGCTACCCCTACAAGCTGCCCATGCTCACCATCGCTCGGAGCAGCATCCTCTCTCATCTCCCCCGCCTTCGGAAAGATCGTCTTCCCTTCTCTCATGCGGCTGGTTTGGGTGCTCCGTGTGAGCTGTCAATCCTCCCACCCCGGACTTCCAGCCCTGCTAGGGACATGAATCAGGCCCCCATGCCAGGTCGCCCATCAAGTAAAGGATGGCTCGGACATTACCTACGTCTTTGTGGCATGTCTTTGTTTACAAAGGCGCTCCGTGGAGATGAAGGTGATTGAAACCGGTGAGCGTCTGTCTTATCAGAGAGGCCAATGCAAGTACTCTATACTTGCAGCTCCCTACTGCGTGCCGTGCATTGAGCCAAAGCACTACGTATTGGATACTCTTGGGGAAAATAAGCGGTGACAAACAAGGGGGCAACGCAAGCGGGCGCAAGACGCATCTCGCAAGTGCGGCTGAAGAAGGAGAAAAAAGACAACCTGGAAAGCCAATATAAGCCAGACAGCCGCGAACCGCGAGTGCGATGAGGCTCCAGGTACGAATACTGTTGAGCAATAGTCCTAGGGTACCTTTGCCTGTGATTATATCCATGCAGATCATCGGGATGCGAAGAAAGGGTCTTTTGTTTACAGCTGCATGATAGCTTCAACCAGCTACAGCTACGAGGACAATATGATACATGTCCAAGCAACAAAGCACCAGTGCCGCCATCGACAAGAATGTGGCGTGCATTGTGTTTTTGGCCATGACTCTCTTTGAGGCTTATACCAAAAGTCAATTCGTCCATGAGCTTGTTGTACAGGTACACAGAGCAGAGCAAGGCAACGCAGAAGCAACTCAACGCATGTCAGCGCCGCGCGGCACGTGATGCGACGAGATTGGCCCGACCTTGGACCTTGGGTGTGACGAAAACGCGCCTGAAAAAAAGAAAAAAAAAACAAGTTTTGCCCTTCCCAGCAAATTGTCGCCCAAAAGTCGGTGTGCCCAATGAAGCACTGCACTGCACTCAAAACGCTGCCAGGCTCTTCCTTGGCGAGCTGTTGGAGGGCCAATTCGGCGACATGTGCAGCCTCGTTTTCTTTTGCAGCTCCTTGGTGATGATGTCGCATTCTAGGCGGCTTCTTGTCCATTGCAGCTTAATTTCCAGTTCGATGTGACAAGAGCCCACAAGGGTTCGACCCAACCAATCTCGGAGTCACATCTCGGGCAGGGTCTAAACTAAAACCTAGGCTCCTTGTCACAAAAAGCCGCTGGGTCGAAGAAAGCCCAATTTTATCTCTCCGTCCCATTTCTATTTTTCTCTCTCTTGTGCTTAACGGCGGCAGAGGGCGCAGAGCCAATCGTTGCCCGACTGCAGTCTTACGTATTCTCTTCTCTCTTTTTTTTTCATCGAATCAGTGGGGGCGGCCCGTGTGACTGTGACTGACCAGGCCAGCAAATCATGAGGCCCATCGTACGGTACAGCCCAGCTGAGTGGCTAAAATTCGAGGGCGGCATTTTTGGTCCGCTTGCGTGAGTGGACACTGGGGGCTGTAGGATTTCGGCCTATGGCCCTGTTTGGGCCCTCGGTCCCGGAGATAGCCAGGGCCAATTGTTTTCTTGTTTGCCCTGGGCTGTTGTTTTTTTGCCATCGCCTTTGCCCTGTTCTTGTTTGTTTATACGGGCAATTGCACTCTTTTTGGGAGCGGAGCATCTGCTGCCGAAGAACCACGAGCTGAGCCCGGAGTAATACCCGACTTACCTAGTACTTCATGTGAAGCATCTCGTACTGTAAACTTGAGCGACAGCCCTGGCCAGCATCAGAGAACCACCCTCTATCACGCCCAACATGGAAATCTATTGCGAACCATGTATTGTACTGTACATGCGTGCTGTAGGGAGAGATTAGTCGATTACCAACACCTGTGGTCATTTCGCATCCCCCGAAGGGCTGGACCTGGACGCATTGCATCACCTGACATGGGGTGGTGCATCAGTCGAACATTCATCTTCAGCTTTTTTGTCCGTCTGCCTGGCCAGCTGGTATGACCCTCGCATGGTGGCGCATCCAGGCTACGTAAACATGCAGATTCGAAGGGCGACGGATGCTGCACGAGGTAACAGAGCACAGGGTACAGGCAATATCGGCACAGAGTTGCCATGCCCGTGTTCTTATTCCAGGGTAGGCTCGGTGACGAAACCGCACATCAATGTTGATCACTGCCTCACCAACAGGATATAGAAGAAAGGTAAGAAAGACTAAGAGGCTTCAGGCACGAGGAGTAGTAAATTATAATACGTAATCCTATGTATATTCTATTCTGGGTGGCAACACCATCGTATACGTATACGGGAGCTTGTAGATGTTCAGAGAATGTAATCAAAACAAACCATCCAAAGCCTCTCACACTTGATATGTGCACCTCACTCATCACCACAAACCCTTCACACCACACAAGAGCCTCATCTCCACCATCCCCGTGCGCTGATCGCTCACGTATTCCGATTGGGCGCTCGTCACCCTGATCCCGCGCACTTTGCAATCGTCTCAATGGCTGTAGCAACATGGAGGTGCTCCGTAATACTACCACCATTCTTCTTCCCGCGTTCAAGGGTCCCCGACTTGCCATGTGTGACTTATGCGCGTTGGTTGCCCCTAAATCAGCCATTTTCACATTTTTCTTCGAGCTTAATTGATTGATCATGTAATCAGCATTTGACTTATTCAGCCTCAATTTGCTCCGACAGGGAGTAAGAGGCGGCGAGTCACTCGTGATTCCTGTGAGATTCCTGGCCGTCAAAGGAGGCAGAACTGAATGGTTACGTGGAATGCGTGTCATTATGAAGAAACTAGAGAAAGAAAATTGAGAGAACTCATCAAATTTTGGATGAACTACCTTCGAAATCGCTCCTACGGTCTCTCTATCTACGGCTCCCAGGTTTCACATTCGATCGAACGGGCAATCTCGACCATCCGCTGAGATGTTGAAGAGTCTAGAACCTAGATGGCAATCATCGGTGCTTGTAAATTATAAATCATTAATTAATCTTGGATAGAAATTATGAGATGTAAGGATAGCAGAAGAGAAACTTATTAGAACAAGTTGCAGACAAAACAAGGATATGGTTCAAAATGTACAATCTTGGCCGACTGTACGTTTCCATACCTTTGGCTTGGTCAATCTTTCGTCTTGCGAATGATGTTGGTAAATAAAAAACGGCACATACAATCCTTTGCCAATCGTTTGGCATCCATATTGACTCCCAGCCCCTTGGTAGTTGGGCAAATTATATAGCCATACCTAGAAACTTATTAGCTGCAAAAGTTACAGAGTAAAATGTGTGGAGCGAAAAACTTGCGTTTGTTTCGGACATGATTGGCCTAACCATCGCTACGAAGCAAGCAAGCAGCTCTGAGAAATACATCGTAGCAGCTGCTATGAAGCAGAGAAACTCAAATATCCATAGGCGCGGAAATTATAATAATTCAGCAAGAGTGATTCTAATGAGGGCATGATATTCTTCAAAGTGGAACTACAGATCACATATACCCAAAAGATGTCTCCTCAGACACACTGAAATGTCTCACATTATGGTTACTCCATCGGGAACATCCGCGTCTTTTCCTTTTGATCCGGGTAATACCAGAGCTACGTCACATGGGAATATAACATCTCTTTAGTATTTCAAACTGGATGTTTGTTTCTTCTACGGCTTGAGCGATGGCAGGATACGTACTGCTGGTTATAGCTACATTCAACTTCCCGTAGGCAATATGGCACGCCGTCTGAATGGGTAACGATGATAACGAAACCAAACCTTTCCTTCCCTCTGGAATGCACGTTGCAACGATGGCACTAAAACAGATTAAATCAGTAGGTTCTTTTAATTTAACCTACTGCTGGCATAGCAGAATTGTAGAACACGCAGTGTCATGGTGTATGCAGTTACGAGCCACTGTCGGCTTACACAGCTGCCAAGGTTCTGCTGGCGTGATACCGCCAACTCGGGCAATCCGACAAAATGAAGATTGTCTCTCTAACTGGTCGTATTGTACGAGACATATGCCTAGAAGTGATTTCTTCTCAACAGCTCTTGAAACGTACAACCACTTCTCCAGCGTAATGAAGCAACGGCAGTCAGCGGATGAGATGAGTGAATAGGGGGGCGGGTCTACACAGGCAACTCAAGTACCTACAATACACTCGGAAAATACATGTAATAGTATGTACTTAGCATCTACTCAGGAGACAAAAAAGTTCTTTAAGTATACATGTACATGCATGTATTACGAGGCCTGTAAGGAAGCTGAGAGTTATCAAGCAGCTCTCCCCTGTGACATCCTGGACCACCGAACTCAACATTGTGACAAAGTAATCTTGATAGAGCAACACGCTGTCGATATCATTCCTCAGCTGTGGCTTACGGTGACGATACTAACTAGATCCGAAGAAAATGTCACCTTGGAGGCATTCGCTGTGTTTCGGCTTTGTTCATCTGTACTTGGCAATACGATATTCTTTCCCCTCTCATCGCGCATGCTGCCTCTCGCCCTCTCCTCTATGTCTTTCTGTTGTATTGGAATGCTAGTGTATGCCCCCTCGAAGCTGCCTCAGTTGGAATATATTGAGAGCGATAGACGAAGAGCTCTCTGAGCGTATATTGTATTCAACTCTGGACATCAACAAAACTCATCACAATACATATACACTAACACGTGGTGATGAAGATGCAAGTCTGAGCTCAAACAGCGGTGTAAACTACTGGATTCCATCCCCTCCTCTTCAGCAATCACTTAAAGGATTTGCCACACGACCAATGCAGGCACTTATGCGCTGTCTAGAATGTCTCAGGCAATGCCTCACCTTTCTGTGATGGAGGGGTGAGTCTATCTAGGCCGTGTAGCGTTTACAAACACTTCAGATGCTCGGCCTAGAGGAGATAAAGAGAAATTAGTGCAGCGTTGACGCCGAAGTTGGTCAATCAGATTCATTACCGCTGAAGGAACGCATACGGGGCGTATTTTTGTTGTTGGGTGAACGAATTCACGAGAAAAAGAAGAACATCCATGCTTGAGCCTCCTACCTACCTTTGAGAACCAACGGCCTTTGAAACCTTTTTCTATAGGCAACATGCATGGTGATGCCCCATAACAGGCCCAGTTTACATGCTTTCAGGCTCTGATATGTGACGGCGACTCCTCAAGAACCCAAATGACCGCGGTCAGGTAAGACTGTGATAAAGCAATAAGGCCAAGTACATGGGAGGGTGAACAGAGTAAGAGACCATCACGGATGGCTGGGAGGCTTATGGCCTAGTCCTGTTGGTGCACACGATTCACCGACATCGTTAGGTTGAAAGAATTGGTCCCTACTTACTGCAAGGGTCGAACGCTTCGCTAAAGGTCGTCTGATGTATCCAACGCAGCTCATCTACTTTTGGCGCATCCATCACTGGCAGGGAGATCCACGATGGTGGCAAAGAGCTGGCCAGATGTTCTTCTTCTTCTAGGAGCTGACTAGATCCACAAGTGTGTATATTAAAGCTTCAAAACGCATTCGTGAGAATCACACCCTGGGACATCGAGTCTAGTCAAGAAAACGTCTGTTGACGCTGCCTTCTCACCGTGTAAGGAGTACCGACATGGCAACATATGATATCTGAAAATCCAGGAGTTGATCTTTTGCCTCTAGCTCGAACACCCTGGGCCAACACCCTCTGTACGTAATTTTCATGCCAATGTCCGACGGACATGGGAGAAGCATGAAGCTGAATGACGCCGGCTGGGCTGGCGGAGAAGGCGTCCACTCATATCTGTAGTGGTGTTACGCAGTCATAGGCGCGCCGCGAGCCTAGGCCAGGATGGATATTGCCATGATGTCGTGGCCATCAACTAGAGGATAGAGCCCGGCGGGAAGGAATGGGAGACGATGAAGAGGGGGTCCCCGTGGAGCGAATAGCGTTGATGCCCGCTCCTCTGAGGATGGACGAGAAGGATGGAGGCTTGCATCTTCATTTTAGACTGCGGAGCGAAGTGCATGCACCGTCTCGACAAAGGCGAACAACGCAGCGATGCCCGAGGGCGAGGCCGAACGGACTGAACACGCATGGACCAAGAAGAGCCGCAAGAATTTGGGATGCTGCATGTTATAGGTCTTTGCAGATCCACACGAACACAGCTTTCCTAGATGCGGTATGAAGATGGTTTTTTGGCGGAGCCGCTTATGATGCATGTTGGTCGAGCATACCAACGACCAACAACAATTTGAAAATCCAAAGAACAAGGGGCCACGCTGGACTTCGTACTCGTATCTATCTGAATGAAACGGTGGCCAGCACAGCTTTGGCTTTGTATCAAGGTAATACAATCGAAGAGGAGCAGCGGAATACGACTTCGGCCATGTTGCCTACATCTCAGGCAGGAGGCGCGAGGCGGATTGGACGATTTCAACGCCATCCGGTCGCTGGGCCTTTGATGCGCCTACTTTCGTTAGCGGACAACGCCAATGAAGCGCGAGAAGGATCCTGGCGGCTTAATTTTTTTCTCTCATTTCTTTTCATGCATGCATGCATGTATGCAGAGCGGCGGCGCTTAGACTGGGGTGAGTAGCGGTGGCCGCCTTCAACCTGTTGAGATTGTGTCTGGACCGAAATGCCCTGGCTGCCATCCAAAGTAGCGTCCACTGGCCGCATTGAGTGGCCGCATCGAATAGTACGAAACCGAGGCTGGATCAAAAGCATGGCAGCAGTGCTCTGCTGGCGCCTTCAAACAAGCGCGCTCGTGTGCGGCCTATCAAAACCAAGCCGGGTCGCTTTGGCGGTCATCTTGGAGAGATCAGTCAATCAGAAAGCGTCCGGGAGAATAGCTCATGGCCATGGCCCGGTCGCATTCGTACGGCGTCTGCTCCCGACATGCAGCCAGCGGCTGTTGCTACGGTTCCATCGCGGGTACAGGTTTGAAGTGTGACTAAGCGCCGGCTGTTGCCAGAGCTCGATCTGAAGACTGGGCAAGTGAATGGTGTTGGAACGAAAGAAACTGAAGCTGTCTGGGGTCTGATATCTGATCTTCGAAACCAAGGCCCGAGATGGTGCTCCGCAGAGCAGCTGATGCGCGCGCATCGATGCATCAAGAGGTTGTGCCAGATCGTGGAAACTTCATCGCAACATGATTGGCATGCGATGGACGGGATGGACGGCGAGAAGCGCCCCCAGATGCTGCGTCGTACATCTACGAGTATGTAACCAAACAGCAGGGAAGGTCGGCTTGTGGTGGTTGGTTTGGTGCCTCAGGAGGGGAAGTTGAGAGAAGGTTAATTGGAAAGCGAGTTGGAGTCTGGTGTTGGGGCGTCCATGTCGTCGCCTGGGTACAGCACTTGTGACTTGTACGACATGCTGGATCGTGATCCTCGCTCAAAACCCCAGCTGAATGCTCAAGCCACCCCCAGATATCGCCAGACGAAAACGGCAGCGATGCGCATTGACAAATATTGAACGGCCTCTGTTGCCCATTGCTTTGGCAGCTGCTTATTCTGGCTCCTAATTTCAAAGGACCTGCTGGGTGCACAGGCAATTCGCTTTGGCCTGCCTGACCGTATTCATCGTCCCCTGAATTCAGCGCCGGGCAGGGACTCGAGAATAGCGCCGCTGATATCTCGACCGCCACATCACCGCGGTTCTGGGTGCTGTTTGGATCCGCTTCTGATCTCCGTGACCGACCAAGCATCACCTTCTGGGACCGGGCAAGGGAATCGCGTCATCCCCCAGTTTTCGGACCCTCACCTCCCCAAGTTGCGAACCACGCGAACGGTACGGCCAGCCGAGTGGGAAAAGAGCGACGACTGGACCATCCATCGTGACCTGTTTTCTGGGAGCTCGAGGCCGAAGCTAGTGGCCTGAATCACAGACCTGGAGAAAGCTTAACAGGGCCCGATCCATCCAGTCCCATCACCTCTATCTCGCTAGCACAATAGCACCAGTGACTTGTCAGCGAGCTAGGAACGTTCGGCCATCCCAAGTCTCTGGGACCAGTTCGCGCGATGCCGTGATGGATTTCGCTCGCCCTTCTCTCCCAAGCCGCCCTTAGCACCGAACTGGGAGGCCGGCCAATCAGCTGGACACGGCGGTAGCCCGCGCCCATTTTGCTTCGTACTTGGCCGTCGAATCACAGTCGCTCCCGACGACCAAAGCGGCCTAGCAGAAGCGCCCGGAGATCTTCCCCTTGAACCACAAGACCTGCGAAGTTGTCAGTTAGTTTGTGTCTCTACGGCTCACCCCTCAGCCCAAGCACTTACTACGAGTGCTAGTACTGTAGTAGCAGCATTCTAGGACTGACTGTACCAGCTGGCCTGTCGGTTTCTCTTTGCTTTTTCTTCAGCTTAGGTTGTCATTGCTTTTTCCCTCCCTTGCAATGTGACTGACCAAGCTGGACGAAGCGTTCAGTACTGTCCAGAGCCAGCGGCAGCGGCGTCGTCTCTTATCTCAGCTTTCGGGCAACGAGCACTGCTGTCCATGCCTTTAGTGGTGATAGTACTCCGTAGAGTGTACTCGTACATGTAGTTGTAGTTGGGGGACCTGGAATTGAATTGAAGCCAACCGCCGTTGAACTTTGCCATTAGCACCTCCAGTGCCTGGATCTCTAGCGCCCCAGCGGTTGAACGGTCTGTACTTGCTCAGTACCTCGAGGACAGTCTCCAGCTGCCGCTACTCGTGGCCATCGTCACCGCACCGGTAAGGTAGCATCGAGGTACCCGTGCGCACACCCTTCGGCCTCGCGCTGCTTTAAGGGCCAACGCCCCTCTGGTTCCCCCTTCCCTCAGAGGGTTTGGAGCCTGGTGGTGCCTGCACTTTGAGCCTCCGTCATCACCATTGCCATCACCAACAAGCAGGTGCTGAAGCACTCGCTCTTTCCAGGGAGATCCATTCGTCTCCCTCCTATGTACTCTGTAGACGCCTGGATTTTCTTTTCTCCTGCTTCCCGTCTCCTCTAAGACTTCTCCTTTTCCTCTTCACGATCTCCTTCACCTTCAACCTCGACTATTCATTGCCATTCGTTGTTTCGTTTTGTTTCGGCGCCAAAGAGCCCATTCACAGCACAGCGCATCCGCCGACGTCAACCCGCCCAAAAGCAAAGCAACCCGCCCACGCACAGGCACAGGCAGGCATAGGCAGGCATAGACACAAGCAACAGGCCAATTTCCTTCTCGCGCGCTCCGTCTTCCACTCCATCCCCTGCTCCCACCCCCCCTTGAGAAATCCTTCCTGTGTCGTCGCCCAATCCGCTTGGCCATCGGCAGCCTGCAATAGGCGTCCAGCGGCAGGGATTTCCAACGCCCCCCATCCAGGCCACCGGCGCATATCCAAAACACAGCCCCTGCCCGAGCCTTACACTGCCTGCTCTGGTTTGACTGGCTCTTCTCAAACAGCCAAACCCCGGCTCGCCTTTGCCGCCAAACCCCTCGTCGGCCGGGGTGCTGCTGTCTCTGACGCTCTCCAACACACCTCCCTAGGAACACGCCCCATCCGCTTCTTCTCTTCTTACCACTACTGCCAACCAACGGTCCAACACAATATAATCCGCCGTGGCCTGCCTTCTTTCGTCCCCGCCAAACTTTTCTCTGGCTTCATCTCATTGCGTATCTTCGCTTGAAGGGCATCACTGGTTAACGCTCTGAAGCCTCGAGGCTTACAAGCTGCCACGACTGCTACTCATCTCACATCTCTTTCAACATTGCTCGCCTCTGACCATCACCGACTGCCCACCTACGTACCACTGCTACTAGGGAATACAAGAATAACTCAAATTACACTCACACGCAGCACGCACGCACGCATACGCTCACACGCACAGTTTAACTTGCGTATCACCCATCATCTTATTTCAACAACAGCAACCAGCTATCTTCAATAACAACCGCCATCATGCCCGCAGCCACAGCCAGGCCTAAGCTGGGCAAGCTCTCCACCCCAGTGACGAGCACGTTTCCCTCCGATATACACTCAGCAAACACGGCCACTCCTAGGTCCGCTCTGTTCGCCTATAAACCTGATCCCAGCTACATCAAGACGCCCATTAGCCCGCCATTGGCATATACCGATTTCCTCTCAAAGGCTCTATCACTCAACTCACCGGCTCTTGCACCGGGCGAGATTTCTCCCGATTCTGCGCCAACATCTGCCGCTAGCGATAAGTCGGAGACATGCTCAACAGATGGGCGTCCATCTCCGGCTTCCAGCGCCGCCAGCAGCAAGCCCTCATCACCAGCATCGGCAATGGCGGTTCCTCCAACTCCATTCACGGCGCCGCTGCCCATGTCCGCGCCTCCTACTGGGGCGAATTGCTTTCCTAGCTTGAAGGTGCCGCCTAGTCCTGCTATTTCCAACCTGGACTCGCCCTTGAGCTCAAGGCTCATTGGCTCCCCATTCAGCGCCCGATCCATCCACTCTGTGTTTGATTGGGATGCTGCTCTCAAGGCTCGCCTAGGAGAAGTGAAGAAGCAAAAGTCCTCACGGGTAAGTGTACGGCACATCCGTGAGGTGGTGACAAGAACCGTCACTTACACCCCCAAAATGGACCCCGCCCCCCGAGGCAAGCGACGGAAGGTGGAGTAAGGAGACGACAACGGGAAGCCATGTTTCGGCAGATTACGATGCTCTGTTTCAAATCACCTCTTCATATGCTGATGGCGATGCCATCAGCCTGCACATCTTTTAACTATCAACGCACCAACTGTATACCAACCATGATCCGACATCACTGGGTGTTTTCGCTTCTTGTCTAGACGACTACATGTCTCCCTGTGGGAGACCAAAAAAACGGATGATCAGAGAATTGGAAGGGGGACGTGCTTCCAATTCTTCCTTTTTATTAACGAAACCTTCAGCACTAATACGCTGGTCGAAGCTGAAGTCGACGATGTGATGGTTAACCATTTAAACCCGGGCGAGTCCCGGCATGACACTACTACTGGCGTATCATGGAAGAGTGGTGTGGGGAGTTTTCTATTTTTTACTTTGTTTTTGTCCCGTTCCCATCACCATGTCGGCTATCTCATTTTTTTTTTGTTACCGCATTCCTCCATGTCCGTTAGGACGTGTGAGGGTGGAGGCTTTGTCTGAAAGAATCAAGGGATTTCCTTGTGGAGTTTGTTGGCGTTTTCCTTGGGGCACGGCCTTGGACGTCTGACGGGCGTTGAACAGCGCATCGACCAGCTTGAGTCGGACTGTGGATAATAGTCTGCCTGCTCGAGTCTGGGCGGGGGCGGCAGAGGGTCAGGCGATGCGGCGTGTGTCACCGGGAGCGGGAACCAAGAGGGGCCGGCTGTTTGCGAGGTCGCATAAGACAGGACAGGGTTGACGGAGGCAGTTTCACTCTTGAATAACAAGACGGGCACAGCTGCACAGCGCAGATGGGATGCTCGTAGCACGCACTTATACACTATTTAGAGAACACATAAAAGACTATTGATGAAAACCATTGGGCGAGAATTTGCTTTGTGACTAATCATGATGGCGAGGGACAGCTCTGATTAGTGGGATAACTTCCGATTGCAACACAAGCCCGATCATGACAGATGCAGCGTCTACTGGCGACAGCGATCACTCTGGCCCGTTTTACGACATGTAGGATTTCCAATTGCTGGTGTGTATGTGTATGTATGTGTGTGTACCAGCATCAAGCAATATGGAGCAGCGACTCTGTACTGCGTGAAGAGCAAAACTCGGTATAAGAGACGGTTTTCATTCGTCGCCTTCTCATGCATGCCTTGTTCTTTTCCTCTGTCATTCTCCTCTCTCTCTTTCTTTTCCCCCACCTCCCTTTATTTCACGCAAAGCTGCAGGTAGATAGAACTTTGCGCGAAAAGGAAGCAAAAAGAAAAAAAAGAGGCCAGGCCGGGGGAGGATGGTCGCAGAGGCGGTCGCATGGGAGTGGGCGCCTGGAGTCTTTTTGCTTATACTAGTGCCACTGCAGTTGTGTCTTTTTGCTCAAGACTAGTACCAGTCCTTTGCTTATACTAGTACCAGTTATGGGGCCTTATAAAGAGTCCTTGGCGCATGTGCATGGGCTTTTTTGTCTTCATACACTTTCTTTTATGACATGGAATGTGTGTTTATAGTGTGAATGAATGTGGATGGTCTTGTGGTTGACTGGGCGCGAATATGCAGGATATAGGTGGGCGTATCTGTGAGTTGTTTGTGCATGTTAGGGCTTTTTCATAGTTGAAGAGAGAGAGAGAGAGAGAGACAAAGAGAAAGAGAGAGTTTTGCCCTTTGTTTGAATCCCTTTCGTCTTTCTCTTCTCTATTCTCCCCTTCTATAGATGTGTCTTGTCTCTCATTATGAAAGGGACACAAGATCCCCTTCGAATCCTCCCACCCTAAACAAGTCACTGCGTCAAAGACACTCAACCCCCTCCCCTTACGAGAAGAAGAGGACCATCGTGACAGTTTTGTGTGGTATCAACACTTTCCTATTTCTCTCTTTTTTGGCCGCGTGGTAAATTTTATGCTAGATGAGCGGTTGTGCGTGCGTGCGTGCCGTGTGCGGTGGTGGGCGTGTGTCTGGGCCGGATAATGGGCCGGACGGGAAGATGCTTCCCGCTAGGTCGCGATGCAAGAGGCCAAGAAGTGCTACGTTAAATTCCCATCGTTTTGTTTTGTTTTCTACTTGCTTGCTGTGATCTAATCTGCTGGATCGTAGCGCCGTGGGTTGAGCGAAAGGCCAGGCCATCGGAACGAGCCTAATTGCCGCCTGGCGAGACCTCTTTCGACATCTCGTTGAGCGGCTATATCCCGTCTTGTGTCATCAATATGGATGGCTGCATATACACGTATGATGGATTGTCCACTCAAGAACGCAGGATAGGCAGAGAGCGTATTACTCCCTGCTGAGAGGCAGCGAGCTTGGAGCAAATGAAAACGCAGAGCTTGTCTTGCCCATCATCGTCATTGCCGAGGCCAATTCTCGATCTCGAATCTTGTCGTTAAGCTCAAGCCCTCTCCTGTCGTGCCTGGGCTTAAGTCATCTTGCACACGCCCCCTCCCCCATCAAGACATGCTCGTCATAGCAAGCACCGTCTTACTGTAGTAGGGGTCGCCTCAGGTTCCTCTGCTCTCTACGTCCTTACGACACCATCCCGTTTGCTCTGTGCTGCCTTTCCTTTCATCCTTCTTTGATTAGAACACCCCCATCCTTCGTCGTCCGGGCATATCCGTCGTGCGTTCGTGACGTTCGCCGACGTCACTGGCCGCACACCCTCTTCGGTCCCCAACCCCGGTCTCGTAGGACATCATGGTCCTAAAAAAAGGGCATAATTTGGGAGCAGCTAAAAGCGGCGTCCTCCCAGGACAAACGACCCAATGCCACCCCAGTTCGTGCTAGGTGGACCTCTAAGCGCCGTCGAGCTCCCGCGAGCCGTGTCATTGGCTAGCGTGGATATGTCTGTCACCCACCCGTCGAGTCCGGTGTACATGATTGGCCGGGATCTAAGCGCCCTGATATGTGGGCAACACATTGTTCGAGATGCAGAAGACTAAGCCGTCGCTACTGTGGCTTTCGGGGGTCCATTGCCTATGCTGCTGTGCCTATGAAATGAGGCCCTGCTGTATGTACGAGGGCGTATGTCGGCAGCATGTACGAAGAAATGAGTCGGTCATTATGTACATGGACGGCACGAGTAGGACCCTTCATGCCGTGACATCGTATGTGGCGAGGAATTTGCTGCTCGTACAGCTGCGTCGAGCTGCGCTAATCTGTGCGGCCAGCAAAGCTGCGACTTGCAACGAATAGCAAATCGAGGAGGGCTAGTAGGAAACTGACTGTCCCCCTTGAGAGACGCTAAAATCCCGGGTTCCCAAGATTTGAAAAACTCAATAAGCGAAGGCTGCCTCGTGAGCTCAAGTTGGAACCGCTGTGGGAGACGTTAGTGCTTAGATTCAATCTTTCTTTGACCACCAACTGCCGAGCTACCACGCAGAGGTAATTCTCCTACACGCGAGGCCTCTTATCCGCGGGACTAGCATCGGCTCACCGCTGGGCTGGGAACTCTAAGCTTCTCCCACCCCTGCTTTGCTGATGCTAGCCTGCTCTCAATCACCGTCTCCCAGCGCTCGACTTGAAGCTCGTCGTGCTGCCAAGGCATGTATGTGCTGTAGAGTAGTATTGTGACATTCAGTCATGCGAGTCACGCTATCTGGATGCCGCCATGTGTTCTTATTGGTCCCAGTTTTCCGTCAGACTAGCAAGACTTTCGAGAAAATCATATTTGATGTGAAGTCCTGAAACGAGAGCGGCGGGGATCCTGGCCTGTATCACCTCTGCTGAAACCGGGTTAAGCCGACATTGGAAGAGGAGGATGAAGATGCCATCCGTTTTACCTCGATGGAACATTCTGAGACGAGTTCCATTTGTTGCTATAATTGGAAACGCACGCACTCACGCACACTCACACGCACGGAGCGGTGATGAAAACACTCGTTTCAATATCACACGGAGCTCTGTGGAGACTCTCCATAGCCTTCGGGGAACCTGTCCCACGCAGTCTTTATTCTCGCGCCTAACGCCTGCACATGGCAAACATGGCAAATCAAGATCGTCCCGCAGGGGCATCGACGGCCAGGCTTCTAAGAAGGAGGAGGGGCGGTCAATTGTCCACGCCTCCAACTCCACCTTTGAGTAGAGCACCCTCCATCACGACTGGAATATTCCCCCCTCTTCTCCATCTCAAGGCATACATGCCTGCAGGCGACTGAGTGGGCAGACAACTAGTCAATTTCTCTGATTTCCTTTGCGACGGCATTGCAGAGAGCGACTTTGACCCCAGCGCCAGTGAGGACGTGGATCCATAGCCGCTGCGTGTCGCTCAGCCTGTCGTTTGCACTCTTGACCTCAACAAACATGGCCTCTCCTCTTGCCTTTCCTGGCACCTTGTCTGTGTCGTCTGCTTCCTCGTTTTGCGCCATCCGCCAGAGAACAAGGTCCGGGATGCCTCCACCTCTCTGTCTGTACTCCTGAGCCATCACCTTGCATAAAGCGGCTAAAGCGCTACCTTGGAAGCAGCGTACTAGTTCTGTCAAGTCCTCCACTGGGAAATCCCAATTGAGACCTATCACACTGGTTCGCCGCTCATGCTCCCGTTCCCAGACCCCACGAAGTAGCCTTTCACCCTCTCCGTTGGCAATTTCGACCAGTCGATGGTTGATCTCCGAGGTCCGAGCAGGGAAGAAGGCGTCTGTATGCAAGTCCAGCGGACAAGTCTGAAAGGCCGTCTGGAATACGTTGGGGATGTAGACAAACAGGATGTCGTAGAACAAGTAAGCAAACAGGGTGCGAATAATGCCTCCCTCAGCATGGTAACCCTTCCACCCCTGTGACCGGAAGTGATTCAAGCACATCTCTTCCACGGTGCACACACCGCCAGAGTCTGAATCGTCCAACCACATGGTTCTCGTGCTTTGAGCTTGGCCTCCAGGCTTCGGTGGCGGGGGTTTCTTCAATTGGATTCCTTCAACCGATAACTCCAAGGGATCGGCAAGCCGTACATGTCCAAAATCATGCTGAAGACGCTTGGGGATACGAAGCTTCTTCTCTAATTTGACCAACCGTTTTTGTAAGTCGTAGTGGTGTATGAGATGGCAATCGGGGTCTTGAAGGCCAGTCTCACAAGTCGAGACTGCTATGGCCCTCCACCGCTTCTTTTGCTGCTCCAACTCATGGGTGGTGAGCTCCGGATCAAGGCTGGGCATGTAATGCTCTTCTAGGAGAGCCTTGCGTTGATACCAGGAGCCTCTTCGGGAAAGGTGAAAGAGTCGCTGTTCTAAAAGCTCAGTCAACAGCTCATGCTCCCTGGCGTATCTCTTCAGTTTGCCAAGGACGAAGGCAGCTTTCACGATTATTCGTGTATATGAGTGGGCAGGATTGAATCTCCTGAGATAGGCACCCTCTCCCATTTCGTAGACTTGGCGCTCTTTCTCATTTTCTTCCTCAACCAACACCTTCCAGCGGGGATATACCTTTTCGAAAATGTCGAGTATTTTCTGTGAACCTTTTTCATCTAGTGGTCCATTGAATTCAAGCACGCTATCAACTTCCGCTTCCATACGAATGGCCGCCTCATATTCCAGTAAGTGAGATCGAGATGCAAATATTGTGGAAGAGCGACACACAAGGTATTCAGGAAAATTCCGCCTAGCAATCTTTGCCAGAATAATAGTCGTCAGTGATTTCTCCGTCCATTCTGTAGATCTGTAAAAGACTAGGTGAACTCTCTCGAATAGTGTGAAAGTAGCAGGTGATATTCGAATACATGGACCGACAATGGCAAGGATTTTGGTCAGAAAATGTTGTTCTCGGTTGGAATTCTCCCTTTTCACTTTGCGCACTGTGGAAGTAGGATGGTCCGTTCCCTCAGAGGCGTTCGAGTCTCTGCTGTTTTGTCTGCTAATACCCAAAGACAGCAGCCCAGCTTGCTGCTGGCTCATCCGGCACAAGGCTTTGATCATGTCCATCTTGGTCTTCCCTTGGATCTTGGCTTCTTTAGCTAGAGCTTTGAGCTCATCAAGGTACAATAGCGATGCAGCCTCCTCGATAGTATCGAGATAGTCTTCAGAGGCATCAGCAAATGAAAAAGTATTGACATCCCCAGGCGTTTCCAGATTGTTTTCTACGGGTGACTCTTCTTCATGTTCCAGAGGCAGAGTTCGGGACTCCTGCAGCGTGGCGATGGCGCTGTCATGGTCCGAGATGTCGTTGAAATACCCCAAGCGAGAGGATCGATGCCATGCCGCAGTTTTCCGGAGAAACAGTCGGACGTATCTATCCTCTCCAATAAGTAGAAGAAGGTTTGGCCGCTAGAGTGACTTACAAATACTGCGCTTCATAGTTCAAGCTTCTCCACTGGTTGAAAATCTCACACTCTCTGCTACTGAACAGGGACGATTCTTCTTCCAAGACTGTATCTAGTGCGAGGTTGAATGCATCGACATATATCGAGCTTCTTCCCTTGATCCATAGAGGAGCCGTCTTCACACCCGATCTTTCTTCGCCGGCGTTGTTTTGAGAAGACCTGAGAGTCTCGTACTCCGTAATTGCTTCTTCATTGGTCTCGGTGGGCGGCAGAGCATTCTCAAACTCGGTGACTCGCTCCTTGCTGCGGCGCTGGTCTGTTTCATCCGAAAATGCTTCTGCAGCAGCAACTTCTTGTGGCCCATATTCAACCGGAAGCTCACTTGGCTCTTCCGACTCTGAATCGGTGCCATTGTCCCTCTTTAACCGCTTAGACGGCCTTGGGGCAGCTGACGATGCATCACCAAGTGAGCACCCAGCATCTCGAGCTTCAGCGTCTGGATCTGATAGCCGCTTCACGAAAGCATCCATAGCAGCCCATTTCAAAAGCAAGACTCTGGCCTCTTGACAGCAAAAAATGAAAAATGAGAGCTGAAAGAATGGATGATGTCCTGCACAAGAAGAGTGGAAGTTGACGCGGAGGCCCGTGAACAGCTAAACGCGAAGTCAGCTGACCCCTCTAAGTGCCTGTCCCCACCACAGTTCATGCTTTCTTTGAGCTTGGAATGGCAGCTTCTTTTTGCCCATCGCCCAGCTTGCAATCGACCAATTGGCGCCGGCATTCCGTAATCATGGCAGAGGACGATCACAAGCCCGCGGTGGATGTTCCGCAGGTGTCCATTTCCAACAATGAAGCTTCAAACCCGCCCTCGCAGCAGAGCCAAGGGAACGACGTCGTCATGGCGGATGTGCTAACAGACCAAGCAGTAAGGCGGCTTCTATGATTCTGATTTTGCTCCAAGCAATGGCTTTTCTGCTGCTTTTGTCGCTGTGTTGATCCACTGACCGCTACTAGTCACCGGCACCCGCTGCCTTTGCACCTAGTCCTGCTCCTGGCCGAACAGGAACTCCAGCGCATGGCTCCAGAGCGGCATCAGCGCACCCAGATTCAGGATTCACAATGCCTTCAGAGCCGCCGTTACATGGCGATTCAACGCGGCGATACTTGAATTCAAAGGTCACGGGTGCTCTGCTGGAGGGAATGAAACTGTTGGCCAAAGAAAAGTAGGTTGATAGCCTTGGTGGGCATCATCATTTGGAAGCTGTCACTGACAACTACCTTGCTACAGACCAGAAGACCCCCTACGAGTTTTGGGCGAGTATTTGATACAAAAGTCAAGGGAGCTGGAGAGGACAGGGTAATTTGATTCAAAGCATCATTATTAGATCATGGGACAAAGGCACGTTGAAGGCGTTGAGGATTTCAGATTACAGGATCAGGGATTTTAGGATACCCAGAGCACATCTATATCAATGAGCAGTCCAATTGCTTTCGATTTGAGCATTTGACTGCCGGCTCGGTCTTTCCAGACCAACGCAGAAGAATCATAGCTCTAAATGCAGCTTTTCATAAACGTCCCAAACTCCTAAGACCTGAAAACCTCCACGACCATGACCGTAAATAACCCGTGGTCTTTTTTTCCCCGTTTAAGCGACAATGGTGCTGGCAGTAGCGGACTCGTACTTCCAGGTGGGGGGCAGGACACCGACGGTCTTGTAGTAACGAGCCAGACGGTGGATTCGGGACTCGATGAGAATGAGGCGGAACTTGGAGTCCTTGTCCTTGCGGTTGCGCTCAAGGTGCTTGCGGACAGCGACAGCCTGGAGTTATTCACTGTTAGTTTCACTTCGCCCAAGAGTCTCCTTTTTCTTTTTCAGAGCCGCAGAAATCTCACCTTCTTGATCAGCATGTACAGGTCCTCAGGAATATCGGGGGCGAGGCCTATATAGATCACTCTGTCAGTCAAGACCGCACAGAGGCACATGAGAGAGGTATCTCATGAAAAATGTATGTATATCCATGCATGCGCCGTTGGAACATGACATTCTTCATTCGCTTCAGGGTTCCGTACCGTTGGACTTGAGGATTCGCAGAATTCGGTTACCTGCAAAATTTCACCAGTCAGTCAACAGTGCTCCTCCCATTGCAGTCTTGCCAATGCCCGTTATTTTAACATACCAGTGACGACCTTGACCTGGGAGATTCCGTGGGAGTCACGCAGGACAACACCAATCTGAGAGGGAGTGGCACCCTTCTTGGCGAGCTTGCAGATCTGGTCGACGACCTGCTCGGGGGTGGTCTTCAGCCACGAAGGAGCGGCGCGAGAGTAGGGAACGGCGGAGGACGAAATGCCCTTGCCCTTGCTGTGAAGTCTACCCATCTTGTCTGGTTTGGAGGTTTCTGCGGAGGATGCAAAAAAGTTGTCGAGAAGCTGGTCGCGAAGTTGCCAGAGCAAGTAACAATTAGGTCGTGTGGGGGGAGGTATGAAATTTTCGCTTAGTTAGGGCAAAAGGCGGAAAGCGCCGTTGCGTGACTAGTGGTCCAGCTAACCAGATTTCCGCGCTGGCACGTGACCTGACCAGTCTCTCTTTGGCTTCGATATCTCGACCCGCTATATCTTCTTTTCTCCAAAATTTTCCCTCAGAAAGACTTTTGACGCGCCGCGTCTTTCTTTTTGATCCGTCCTTTTCTTCTCAGCTGATTCTAAATGTTGCTGGCTGCAGCAAGAATCTGAAGAGGAAATTGGTATGGCCGGCTTATAGCGCTGTTATTAGGCCATTCTGAACTGGTAAGCCATCTCTTCTTTCCTCAATCTCAACACACTGGCGATGCCTTCATGGCACGTACCTACATGATGACACGACACATTTTGTTACATTTTGGCACCTCTTATGTTAGGCTTTCCTTCGGGAAAGCCAATGAATTAACTGGACTTCTGATCTTTTGGCGCTTCTCTTCATTACTTAACTGCAACACACTCATGGATGAGACGTATTGCTAACATGAAGCAAATAGACGTTTTATAGACCCAGCTTGTTTTTTCTTTAGCGATAGCACCGTAGTAATCTTAATGAGATTTGACATTCCATATTCGCTTACTATTGAGCCTTGATCCGTTATTCTTCGCAGCCACAACCAAGCAAAGCACACAAACGCCGTCCCTTTTTTTCTTTTCTCGTACCTGTGATCCCACGTTGGAACAAAGTACGTTTGTCATTGTATCTGCACCGCTCCGCCCTTAACCAAAGCAATCATGATTTCCCGTGGCTGCGAATGTGATTTGTCATGAGCTACCTATTATACCGCCTCGCCCAAGTATTAATTACAACAGTTTACCAAGCGCCCACTTCGAAGTTTTCCTACCAATGGGTTAGCTTTCGTCTTCTTGGTCAGGTTGAGCAACAGGGAACAGGGAGTACAAACCTCTGGGAAATACGTTGACACTACAGTTCGGTCGGCGAACTTTCGTCCAGCAAGAGCTGTAAGAGCCTTGGTGGCGGATTCTTCAGAATCGAACTTGACGTATATCTTGCCCACACCGGTGGATTGTCTGCTGCCGCCAGATGGTCTGGGGACTTTGAGCTCTACGACCTTGCCAAACTTGGAACACTCGTCCTGAACGTCCTCGCAAATTTCTGCATCCAGGATTAGAATACTGACATAATAAGAACAACACTCTCACATACCTTCGTAATCGTCATTGTCCAGAAGCTCTTCAGGAGTGACCATGTTGAGAAGCTGGATGACAGAGCTTCTCTCAATGTCATTGGAGGTTTGAGAAGCGAGACCACTGATTGCAGTGATGCCCACGTCGAAGTTGGCGACCTGCGTAGGTCCAATGCTGGCTTTTGTCACCTTGAGCTTCTTGCCGCCAACATCCATTCCGTTCAGGCTGTTCAAAGCAGGCTCGTTTGCTGTGGAAGGCTCAAGATATTCGGTAAAAGCGATTCCCTTGATAACATAGTTAGCACAGATTTACACTGATAAATCACATCCGCAAACAAAGCTTGACTCACTCTAGATTCTTCAGTACTGCGATCTTTCACCAGAACAAACGCTTTGGGCTTGCCGAAGGCGGCGAGCAGCTCAATAACTTGATCCTCGGAAAGGAAAGACGGAATGTTGGTGATGCACAGCTTGTGCACAGTATCAGGCACCACGTTGGAGATGACTTCTGGGTCGTAGGGCATCTCATCTGGTAGCGCAGGCATGACATAGTCCTTGGGTCGGCGAATATTCAGCCCGTGGTTGCCACCATTGGCGGTGCCATTCTGTGCATCATCGGCCTCCATGGTGATGCCATCCAATGCGAGCGCAACAGTTGCGTCAGACGCATTTCTGAACTCTAGGACGGCAAATGCCTTGTCTTGAGAAAACTGGCAGAGAACGCAAGGATCAGAGCTCTCAATGACATTCAGCCCATTAAGTTGTAGATTGAAAAACGAAATCAGTGCGTCTTCGGTAACACCACTTGCGACATTGGAAACGAGCAGACGTTTTGCCTGGCGAGAGTTGCTCGCCTTGAGTCCTGCGCTGGTAACTTGGCCACCAGGTTGAGTCATAAAGGCTTGCAGCTTTGTTGGATCCATCGGTTGTTGACGAGGGGCACCTGGAAGAGGAAACATGCCAGAAAGCTTGGCTTGCTCGGCTGTCACGAGGTCATAACCAGGAGGCTTTATATCCCACTGCGTCAGACGTCGCTTACGCTCGAGCACGGGGATAACATCCGTCAAATCGGGAGTGGGCTCTCGTTTCTTCGGAGGCGACGGGCTGCGGCGTGGCTGCTCTTGCCTTGCAAATCCATCATCACCGCGCCTCTCTCGCTCTCCTCGTCCTCCTCTTCGGCGATCGTCGTATCCATCTCGGTCTCGTCGGTTGGGCCTCTCGTCATCGTCACGTCGAGCATCTCGGCGGTAAGAGCCTCGGTCACGGTCCCACTCACGGTCGCCCCGACGGTCGCGCGCCGATGAGTATCTGTCCTCGCGTTCCCTATCGCGGTGGCTGCGACTTGAAGAGTATGCATCGACGTCTCCCTCAGGCCGGCGATGGCCTCCACGGTGGTCTGGTGATCGAGAGCGGCGGCGATCACGGTCTCTGTGTCGGTCGCGACGGTCATCTCTTTCGCCCCTCGAGCTCTAGAGCAAAGCAATTAGATACGGCGGGTGGAAACAGCAATTGGCATACGAACAGGATAATCTCGGTTTCTTCGCCCCCCATCTGATTGACGCGAAACTTTGGTTAGCACAGGCGCCAATTGAGCAGCGGCTGGAACGCGCGTCGTACCTCGAGATGAATAACTGTCGCCGTTCATTGTTGTGGTTTCTCGTCGCCAATTCTAGCGGCCGGACAACTCCTTCAAATTGGTGATGCCGGATTCTGTGATGAAAAAGACAGTCGATGGAGTCGCCGGCAAGATTCTTGGCCAAAAGCTCCTTTGCCAATGCTTTGCATGGAAGGCGAGGCTGGAGCTTTTTGCAAGATAGGCGCTAATCCACTTCGGCGTTAGTGTTAGAGAGCCTGCCGGATTATCTGCGGCTAGTGCTTTAGTGACGCGCCTCAGGACCCGAAAAGTCCATAGTGGTGGCCCCTATCATATCGACGACTTACACACTATCTGCAGATACGGTATTAACCTGTATCTGTAATTGTTTTGTTTTCTAGAATCCAACTCAATAGTTACATCAATTATGGCGATGAAGCGCATTGTCGATTGGCGCAAACTGCCAGTGAGCCTCACGGAACTCTGTATTGACACGACCCTGCGATGTGGCCAATCATTTAGGTGGCGGAAACTCAATGATGAATGGTTGGTCTCACATCTTTGTTGCTCTTACAGATGCTGAACTAACAGAAATAGGACGTGTACCCTGCATGGGAGGATACTGTCCTTGAAGCAAGATGAAACTCATCTACATTATAAAGTGACTTGGCCAGAACACCGTGCTGAGAGTAAATCATCCGGCAAAGACGTGCCATCAGAGAAGGACGATACAGAAGATCTTCTTCGCCACTATTTCAGCTTAAACATTGATCTGGCTTCCCTGTATCAGCAGTGGTCGAAGGATGATCCGAACTTTCGGAAAAAGGCACCGCAGTTTACGGGAGTTCGGATCCTGAACCAAGATGCGTGGGAGGCGTTGATATGCTTTATATGCAGCAGCAACAATAACATATCTCGAATCTCTCAAATGGTGAGTCCTCATGAGAAGGATTTACGAAGGACGACTTTCGATTAACATAACTTGAACTCTAGGTCCATAAACTTTGCAAGCATTATGGCCCGTTGATTGGCCATATAGAGGGCGAGGCCATGCACGATTTCCCAACCCCAGAGTCTCTAACAAAGAAGACAGTTGAGGCCCATTTAAGAGAGCTCGGCTTTGGTTATCGCGCCAAGTACATCGCAGAGACGGCTCGCATCATTGCCAAAGAAAAACCCTCGGCATGGCTAGACTCACTACGCAACCCAGATTTCCCTGCGTTCAACGCCGTGGCAGTAGTGGATGCGCCGCAATCCACCTACAAAGATGCCCAGGCTGCACTCCTCTCCCTCACTGGCGTAGGTCCAAAGGTGGCCGACTGTGTATGCTTAATGGGTCTAGGATGGGGAGAATCAGTCCCGGTAGATACACATGTTCTT